ACAAGTTGTTTTGGCACTAGTTTGGGCAGTATTTTAAGGATAGTGGTTTTTTCCTTCTTAGCCAGAAGGTTTAAAATAGACCTAGGGATTCTCTTGGCTTCACTGCAGCAGCAGTGGGCTCTTCAGCAAAAGCAAAGCAAAAAGTACAACCATAGAAACAAAACTGAGCTGTGTGCCACACTAAGGAGAATGTTCAACTAACTTGGTATTGCCAGCCTGGTGATTTAAAAATATTTAACTTCTTCAATGATTCTAAGAAAAGTCTTAGGGTCTTGCATTTAAAAAGCCATCCCTGTTTTTTAGTGTTGAAGTAATGCTTATTTTTGTGACAACTGTAAATATTTTCAAAATGAGATCGCTGGTATCAAAGGCAAGCGAGATTATTATTATTATTTCTTTTTTTACAGAGGGCTGGCATCATAGCTGCATTAAACACTCCACCTCTGACATGAAAAGATTTCTTTGGCAGCTGTATGTTTGTGAAGTGTTCCTGTTTGCAGTGGGTTTCTAACAGCCTCTAAGAAATGTTTCTACTTCTGGTTTGCTCTTTTTCCAATTGTCTCAGTTTCCCTGTAGCAGAGACAAGGAACCAACAAGCATAGGTGTGCCTTCAGAAATCCTGGAGTTACAGAAGTGTCAGCAAGCTTCTCTCTCTCAGTCAGGCTGGCTTTGCCCCCTTGCCTTAGAGCAGTGTGCTTGTGGTTATTTACACTGTTCATAAATCCCTGCTTTAATTCAGATGATGCTTCTGGCATTGCTGGGTATTGGAAATGGCCCATGCTCGTTTGTTAATGAATGCTCTCATTTTACAGCTCTCTTATTGTCTGAGCTGTAAAAGGAAATACAAAGATTTCATGTGGTTTGGGGTGTTTGTAAGCTTTACATATTCAGCTTATATTCACATTCAGGAACAGGCAAGGCTTTATCCACCTTTGTGCTGTGGTTTTGTGGCAGGTTTCTGTTTCAGGCAGTGCTTGCTACTCCTTCTCTCCTCTTGGCTGCTGTGGACACAGGCACTTTATCCACACTGTGGCTTGGATACTACAATGGTGGTGCAGCTGTGGGGAGTGCTTGACTGGATTAAAAAAAATAATAATAAAAACCAAGCCAAACCAAACCATGCTGCAAAAAAAAAAAAAAAAAAAAAGCACCAAAAATCAAAACATAACAACAAAAAAAAAAAAAAGAAACAAAAAAGAAACCCAAACCCAAAACACCTTTTTGGGCTCGTTCAGTTTGTCAGGAAGCCCCAAACCAGCAACAGGAATGTGAGAAGAGCCTGCTGGCAGTGCCTCTGGAGTGCTCACCAGCTCAGCACTGGGGCTTACTGGGTTTGTCCTAGCTGCACCAGTAAACCCAGGGGATACCAGAGCATCCTGTGCTGATCCCTCTTCCCATCCAGAATCCAATTTGATGGAGCTTTTCCTCCACCAAATTCATTTGTCAGAATCATTGCAGTGTTTTTGTAAAAGCAATATTTCTTGAAAATTTAAGGAGAACAGTTTGGATTTGTATAGGAAGTCAATCAGGTTTTCCCCTTCCCTTCTTCCAAGGAGGAGCTGTCTCTGCCTCCCTTCTCAAACCCTGGCAGGTCTTGAGCCCTTCAGGATCTGGCCAGTACTCTCTAAGAAATGAGCTTATTAAAATATACTGGCTTGATCTGTTATTTTGAAGTTTGCATTAATCCTTCCATCATTTTATGTCCCTTAGAAGTCACTTTAAACTAGCCTAAATGTCTTGTTATTAATCAGTTTCTGGCTGATTCTGGACTAAGATCCTTAGTCCTTTAATCAACCTCTGAGAATATTATGAAAAAATTTTGCACATCTTCTGGTGTTGATTTTTTCTTCTTCTTTCAGTAGATCCTTGTGATTTTTTTTTTTTTTGGTTGATTGTTTCATTTTAGGTTGTTTTGTTGGGTTTTTTTGAGACAGAAGACCTTTTTAAACTCATTTTGGAAGCAACCTTGTAAATATCAAAAGTTCTCTAAATAACTACATCATCAGCTATGCAAGGTGCTCATGTTAGAGGGTTTATTTTGATATTAGTTAATGTATTCAAATCTGAAAATAACTGCTCTGCTTCTGCTGCTTCCTCCATTGCTATTTATAGATTCCTTATCTTGTCTGTTATTGGTCTGTGTAATTAACAAGCCATCAGTGGGAATTTTCCTAATCACAAAGGACTCTTAGTTGTAAGTACAAAACAGTCTGTGCCCAACTCTGAGCAGACAGAAAGGAGGATAACTTATCCAGGGGTCCTGTCCTGTTCAGTCCTGACCCTTGTGTCCCATCCCTTCTGCATCCAGTCAGACACTTGGAAAAGCCAGGCTTTGGTGAAAAGGAAGGTGTGTTCAGTTCAGAACAGCTGGGTTTGCCAGCAGAGAATCCCTGGCTGCTGGTGTTGTTCAGACCTGGCCTCCCCACAGCCTGGCAGATCCCTGCTGTGAAAAACCACCTTGGGAAGGAGCAAATGAGCTTCTGGTGCTTTGCTGGAGGTCAGCACCACAACCTTCACATCCCCCTGTGCATTTAGGGAGCAACTCCTTCAGACTTGGTGGTATTTGAGATTTCTGGTGTTGGAGGTGATTTAAATTTCCATTATCCTATTAGTTCTTCAGTTTCTCTGGTTTTGAAAAGAGACAAAATGCTGCTTATGTTAAAAGCAGAAAGGGAAGGCCCCCTTGAGTAACATTTTTCTCTGAACCTATTGTTAACTTCACTTTTGAAGTAAATTTTCCTTGGAAATGCAGCACTTCAGAGCACTCTGGAAGAGTCATCATTTTCTGGTAAGTACTTTTCCTGGTGAATAAGATAATGTCCCTCCTGGTGGGAGGTGGGAAGGAGCTTAAACAACAATAAACCCTCAGCCTGCCTGCCTTACCAGTGATTGATCAAACAGGGAAGGAGCAGCCTTCATTCCTACAGCCTGGGGGTTCAAGTGTTATTTGCATATAATTGCTGCCAGGTTACAGCTTTTGTAACTAACTGGACTATTTGAAATAATCCTAGACTGCTTTCAAATAATCCCAGACTGCAAAACTCCCTGATATTTCACTCCAGCATGAGGGGAGTATTGATGGGAAAAGAGCTCTTGGCTTCCAGTGTTTTGTAAATGGATTTTTAACTCTGGTTTGGACACTCACCTAGCCTGGATTGAAGGGTATTTGAATCAAGTGACTTCATATTACCAAACCAGGGCAAAGCTTCTTAGGTGAAAAAGAAGACCCTGACTTATGTAAAAATATACAACCAGAGAGGGGCTGATGAAAAAGAAATTATTTTATCTTTGTGATGATTTTAAATGTTCAGGCTTATGCAGGTGTTAGGAATTCAAATTGGTTTTTAGTACAGTAAGTAATGACCCAGCATTTTCTATATGTCAGGGAAAGGTGATCTTTGGATTAAGCTGTGGGTTTTGAGTGCTGTTTTCTACTTTGACAGTCACTGGAGAGGAGCTCTCCTGGGTTTGTATCTCTGAATTTACTGGACAAATGCAGCTCACTAACAACGGGGATGGAGAAAACTGTTCCTGTTTTTGTTGGGTGCTGTGAATTTAAATTTAGAAAGATTAAGGGTTCTGAAATACAGTTTAAAAGCATATGAATATAGCAATTACATTACTTACAGAAAAGGGACTTTTTAGGATGAAGGAGATTAGTTTTAGAAGATGACCGTGTGTGTAATCTTATTTCAGATGAAAAGAGCCACAAAGCCTGATGCAAGAAATTGAGATTTGAGAACTCCCTTTTGATTAAATTATATATATTTCTCTGATCTGTCTAATTCTTAATAGGGCATTAAGTGTATAATAATGGAATGTAAAAGAGTAGGAGAACTGAATGATGATGTATTTAGCAATGTTATTTGCAATTAAAACCCTGGGGAAGGGTTATGGTTGTGTGATCAACCTTGTATAAAAATAGCACGGTCACCTTGTCCTCTTGATTGATTTTGCTTGCCTTAAAGGAAATATCTTTTAGGTCATCCAGCAAGCTGCAAACCACCCACTCTTACAGGTGGACATTATAGCATAATTCCATACAAAATAAAGCTGATGATGGAATTTCTGGTTCTGTAAAGATTCTCCTTGAATATTTTTAAAAGCAATGATGGTTTTCTGCTGTGTTGCATTGCTGGATGATGCAGTGCACAGTGTGTGCTGTAAGGGGGATTTTGCAGCACTTGAGAATAAAGCAGCATTTGGCTTTATAAGCAATATCTTTTATTGCCAGCTCTGTCCCAACCCTCCTCCTCAGCACACACTTCTTAATAAGTTAAAATGAGTGACTTTGGTTTGCTTTGTTTTGGGATGTGAAAGTGGTTACAGCTAAATCTGGAGCTGTGTAAAGAGATGTAAAACACTGCAGAAACTGGGAAGGTGCTTGTCTGAGGGAGGGAAATCTGGGGCAGTGGGTGTGTTAAAGGAAGGAACTAAAAGTCTCAATTAGATGAGAGTTACGCCATTTTTAATTGAGTTTTTTTGCTTGACTGGATGTAGGTTTCCCCCTTTTTTTTTGTTCTCTCAGCTTGCAAGTGACACCACTTCAGATGTTTTGATTCATTAAGTTTAACTTTTGCCAGCAGGCAGGAGGGAGGTCAGGAGAGCTCCTTGTTCCTTGTTTCTCAGCAGCAGCTTTTCAGTTCAGTTTCTGGAAGGTGCCTCTCTCCCAGCAACAGGAGCTTTTAGTAGCTGGTGTTGGGCTTTGTTTCACTGGCACGGGGGGGCTGTTTGCATCTAGAGCTTCTCCTTGGGAGGTTCTGGAGCAGGGAATGTGTGAAAACAGGCCAAGATGTGTCTCAAAGCTGTCAGCTCTTAGCAGCGAGCAATGCATTCAGCTGGACATTCCTGCACCTCCACTAGCCCATGCTGCTGGGACATTGGTTAGAAGTGATTGAATATATTCACCATCATCGGCAGAACTGGTGTGGAATTTGAATCAGATGTGATCAGGAGGAATGGAAGCCAAGCCATACTTTTGCCCTGTCATTTCTCCTCAGAAAACCCGAGAAGGGAGTGCAGTACCTGATCGAGCGCGGCTTCGTGCCCGACACGCCCGTGGGGGTTGCGCATTTCCTGCTGCAGAGGAAGGGGCTCAGCCGGCAGATGATCGGAGAGTTCCTGGGCAATCGGCAGAAGCAGTTCAACAGGGACGTGCTGGAGTGAGTATGGTGTGGGAAGGGGGAGCCCTGCCCTCCCTGCTGCACCTGCTGCCTGCGGGTCACAGAAAGGCTGCTTCATTCCCTGCCCCATCCTGCTCTTGGCCAGCCTGTTCCTGCGGGTCCTTAATTGTGCTAATTGCTTCATTTGGAGTCTGCACGTGTGCTTTACACCTTGGAATGGGAAAACACCATTTACACCAGGAATGAGAAAAGGGCTTTTGACACTCTGACAGAATTCACAATAATGGGAAGCCTGTGAGCATTATTGCAGAAGTGATAGTAAAGTTCAGGTGAGGATTGGAAAGGGTGTGAGAAATGCCAGGCTTGTTGTTTCATTGTGCTTTTGCATAAAAGGAAAAATAGTAAAAGCAAGGTGTAAGAATCCCTGTCAAACAACAAACTAAATAACTATTTATTGCAATACAACAGCAAGGGGAATAAGTAGCTTGCTGTTAATCTACATTAGCTACAGTGTTACTGGAAGAAAAATATGAGCTTCTGCAATTTGTCATTGGATATCTATACATTTAAGAAAAAGCTTTTAAAAGTGGATGGTGCTTTCTGTGGTTTCTGCATTACAGTGCTGTTGCTTGCAGTGATTCATGTCTGGTCATTTCAAAACTAAAAGCTAAGCTTAAAGGAAATTTATAAGCCTCTGATTTTAAAGCAGTCTTTAAACAAAGTATTAGAATGACATAGTTCATGTGGCTGATTATATTAAGATGGTTCCCTTTTATTTTTTGTCAGCACTGTATTTTCAGAGCAAGAAAATAATTATTTCTCCATAAATGTTAACTGAAAGTCATGGCAAATGATGTGGAGATGAGAATTACAGTAATAATAAAAGAGTATCCAAACAAGGTTATTTTTTCTCTCTGCAATTAAGAATGTTCCTAGACACAGAGCCATTTGGTACAGATTATTGTGCCTGCTGCAGGCTGTCTGAGATATGATATTTTGAGCAGTATAAACTATTTATTATTGTTGGAGGCATTGTGATAGTTGATTGGCCTGGAAGCACAGAACTAATAATTATTTGTGGCAGTGGTACATCACTTAAAATGATCAGACATTTGTCATTCCAGTGGCTCTTCAGTTAAAAAACACAAGGGTCTGCTCACATGTGCACTTTCTCATTGATCTGTTATTTTCAACCTCCCTTCACAGCTTACCTGCAATTATTGCAATTGCTGCTGAAAGTTTAAAAAACAATTCCACGAATCTCCGTCAGATGGAAAATTGAAAAGTTTTTTCTGTTTCAAAATCTTCCCTTTGTACTGTGGTGTTAGAAATGAAGAGACAGGATGTGAATCTGTTTTTGTCCTAGCTGTGTGGTGGATGAGATGGACTTCTCCACAATGGAGCTGGATGAAGCACTCAGGAAATTTCAGGCCCACATCCGTGTCCAAGGAGAAGCCCAGAAGGTGGAGCGGCTCATTGAAGCTTTCAGGTAGGATGTGAAATAAATCCCTCAGTCCCCAGAAACCTGCTGCTTTGCAGTCAGACTGCAGAACTGGGGAACTTGGGCTTATCTAAGTTACTTTCCTGATTATTTTCAGTGTCATCATGAGGTACAAACACTTTCAAATATGTCTTGTTTAGGAGGGGAGGTTGCTAAGTATGGAATAGGAAGTTTCATTTGCTGGTGTTGTTCACGTGTGGCATTTGTATTAATAGAACTTTCTCAGAAGTTTTTTCTGGCATCAGTTGAAAAGATACTCAAGAATTTTTTAACATCTCTAAGAATATATTTGGATTTAGTAGTTTATATGAGTGGAATTAAAAGCCCATGTACTTTCTAGGGAATGTATACTCCTGGCTTTTCATTAAATACTTCAACAACAGTGGGAGAAAGAGGAGTCACTTATCAGTACTGACAGAGCTGTATCCAGGGCAGGATAAGGTGGAAATCACCACATGGCAGTAAGCCAAAATCAATGCTGTATTCTTACCTGTTGTTGGGGTATTAATCACTGAAAAAAATGGGATACAGAAGCTACTGTAGTAAGTGAAGTTACAGTTAAGGAGAACCCAACTCCTTGCATGTTCAAGGATTGCCTTAGGAAAACATGTGGATGGAAAGCTAAAGCTGTGTGTGGACAGGGAGCAGTAGCTTGCTGAGGCTCTGGATGCAGCAGGTGGGTTATTTGGTGCATTTGAGCAGTGCCTCCCAGCCCTGACAGCCTCCCTGGTGTTCCCAGCCAGCGTTACTGCATCTGCAACCCGGGCGTGGTGCGGCAGTTCCGCAACCCCGACACCATCTTCATCCTGGCCTTCGCCATCATCCTCCTCAACACCGACATGTACAGCCCCAACGTCAAACCCGAGCGCAAGATGAAGCTGGAGGACTTCATCAAGAACCTCAGGGGTAAGAGACCCTCAGGGCAAACTCCTCAAAGCTTTTCCCTGTCACTGTCCCTGCGGGGACACTCTGTGTTTCCTGGGAACGACTTCACGCTGTGTCACCTGGCTGCCATTTGGACAGACTTCAGTCGTTTCTGTAACAGCAAAATCAGAATTAATTGTGTCATATTTTGTCATTTTTATCTTGTCTTTCTTGAATGGATGGATGTATTGTCAGGACCTTTCATTTTAGGACCAGTAAAAAACCAAAATACTTTTGGTGTTCTGGAATTTCAGATCTTAAAAGTCCTGGTTGGTGATTTTATTCCCTGAGATTTATATAAGGCAGCAATGAACAACCTGTGCCTAGCAGATGTTCCAGCTTAGCAAAGTTTGTTAGTGCTGAGATTTTATTGTAAAATCCACAAATACTCCAAAGGCCTCATATGCATCTCTTGGCATAATGCTGCAGTTACATTTGTGGAGTTAGCTGCAGTTACATTTGTGGAGTTAGCTGCAGTTACATTTGTGGAGTTAGCCACAGCACATCCTGTCAGAACTCCAGCATGCATGCCAGCAGTTCTTGGTACTGCAGGCATTTCTGCAACAGGCTACCTTGCTGCAGTAAATCACTGCATCACAAAGGGTGGGCTGTGGAAGGCTTGGCCATGTGGCACAGAACAGAGGTGGTTTTGCTTGCTTCTATCTGCAAACAAATTGTATTTTATCACTGTATTTTTTATGGAAGCAGTTGTTGGGCTGGGGTGACAAAGTATTCTATCTTTGCTTCTGAAGGGGAGATAAGAGTTTATTGCTTTAAAACCTGTTTAAAAAAGAGACATGCATCTCTCTGTCCCCAGAAAACCCAACTTTAAGTCACTTAGTGAAATTGGACTCCTTCCATTGCTATTAAAAATTCAGGATCAAGCATTCATGCCATTGGTGTGGCATTTGTTAGAATGCCACGCCAATGGTAATCACACAGTGCTAAACAATAATATTGGATCTGGGCTATTTTGTTAATTTGTTTGTCCAGATTAAACTAGTTCTTTTTGAAATCTTAAATGAAATATTGGTTAAGTAATTTTAATGCATTCATAAGCTTCTCACATAGGAAATTATTTCATGAACCTTGAGTAAGACAGAGGCAAAATGAAATGGTTCTTCTGCTTCCTCCCAGGGGTTTATTCCTAGGAGAATGTCATATGGAGGTTTTAGTGTCTAAAAAGGAATTTAACTCATTGCAGCTTTAATACCAAACAGAGGTGTGAAAGAAAAAGAAAATCCTTTAGTGTAGGAGCATTGGGGGTAGGACAGTCGGGATGGATGGAGAGCAGAGATCTCTGCAGCCAGGACAGGAATTTGGGGTTCATTGCAAAGGGCCTGGGTGCAGGGCCCTGCTGGGAGCTGCCAGCCACAGCTGGAGCAGGACTGAGAGAAGAGGGGTGGAGAGGATGAGAGGGTGAGAGAGTAAAAGGGTGAGAGCGTAAGGGAGTAAAAAAGGGTAAGAGCGTAAAAGAGTGAGAGAGTAAAAGGGTAAGAGAGCGAGGTTCCCGTTACAATACCATAAATCTTCTTCTGTGTTGAATATTCTGATTCTCACTAAGCAATTTAGTACAATATACAAATCCTATAGCATTTCCATACAGCCTATAAGAATCATTACATTACTATACTGTGTTATATTTTAAACCCTAAAAACTCCTCTTTGGGCCCCTTCTGCCAAGCTGTAGGGTCTGCTCTGACCCTTAGACCTGTCTGCAAACAGAGGGCATTGTTTCATCAAAAAGAAATTACCTTCAGCTGGCCACACCATTGTTTTCCAGTTGTTCAGTAACTGAGGTATCTCAAAGCTTGCTTTCATTTCAATCTTGCTTATAGTTTCTATATTCTCAAAATCTTTTGCCAGACAATCATATTTATAAGGCTTTCCTGTTTCATCTTCCCCAACACTTTAGGAAATCAGCCTTTTTATGTCTTAGCTCTAGATGGAGTTTTAAAACAAAAAATCCCCAAACCTGGGTGATCTCTATCAATGTCTTGGTGTATGGGCAGCAAGCTTCTGGACCAAAATCAGTGTTTGAATCATGTTCACACCACTTCTTCTTCTGCGTGGCTGAGGCAGCACAAGGGTGCACAGGAGGAGCTGGCTGGCAGCTGGCAGAAACCAGCACAAACATCCAGGCAGGCAGGCAGCACTGGGAGGGCAGGAAAGCAGAGAGTGCCAGGATTTTCTCCTCCCTGCTAACAGCAGCTTGGCCCTGCAGGGGTGGATGATGGGGAGGACATCCCGCGGGAGATGCTGATCGGGATCTACGAGCGCATCCGCAAGCGCGAGCTGAAGACCAACGAGGACCACGTGTCCCAGGTGCAGAAGGTGGAGAAGCTCATCGTGGGCAAGAAACCGGTGAGTGCCCTCTGTGTGCCACGGGGAGGGCAGGGCAGGGCAGCAGAGCTGGGCTGCTCCCCACTACAGACTGGCCCACAAATGGCAAAGGGCACAAACTGCTGCAATCATTCCCTGTAAGGCTGACTTAAATTCTGGAGTGTCCATGCAGATGAATTTTGATTTTGCAGTTGTGGGTGACATGATGATGTTAGGAGTCTTAAAATCCTTTATTGTGAAGCTTTACAATTCTGAAATACCTGCATTTTAGGCAGTTCTCTTGTTTATTTCTAAAGAATCAAAGTGCTTTGTTAATGTGATATTGTGTAGAGAACTGTATTTCAAAATGTGCACTGTCAGTTACAGCTCCATAATTTACAAGAGTAACAGAGAAGTTCTGTTCATATCAGCATCTTTGTCACCTGCTCAGCTTCCTCCATGACCTGGGATTTGTAAGGGGACGTGGGGTCATTTTATCTCAGGACATTCTGAAATCAGGTCCCAGGGATTCTGATGCTGGGTTTGAGCATCCAAAGATAGGATAGTTGTGGAAAAAGTCCTGAAATATTTTGCTATATAAATGAATCTTGCTATATAAAAGCATCTCTTGGAAAAGGAGAGAGAAAAGAAAGGCCACAGCATTTTGCCTCCGAATGTGGCTCTCAAGATTCTCCCTGTTACAGTTAAAGGGCTTTGAACTGTAATCTCTTCTCAGACAAGCCTTAGTCAGGGGAAGGGGGAAGGGAATGAGGGACCCCACCAAAAATCTAAATTTGGTCTGTTTCAAGTAAAGAATATTCTGAGGAGATCTCTTTGAAGAAGCAGAGGAAAGAAAGCAAAATTTTTATAAAAGCTTGTAACTGTTTTTGAGAGGAAGGGAAATAGAATATTCTGAAGTCAGTATTGATGCACTTAATATGAAACTTTGTTTCTGTAATTGGGGATTTAAGCTTATATATAGGTTTCTGTGGGAGATGTTTTCTTTCCATGTTTCTTTTTTTATTCAGACATGTGGCAATTCAAATCCTAAACTAATCCTGACCTTGTAAATTAAATGGGATTAAGAAAACAATGCCCTTGGTGGAGTCCTAGCTTGAAGGATTCTTCTGGTGGGAGACTTTTTAACTGTGTGCAAGGAATTTAGGGGAACAGGCAAGAGTCTTTATTGATAGCTCTATTTGTTTTTACTTTATAGGCATTTAGTCATAGTCAGAGCGTGCCGTATTTACTTGCTATGATACAGTTCTGTGTTTCTCTGAAGTTTAATCAACTTGTATGTGTCTTTCTACTGTAGATTGGATCTCTGCACCATGGACTTGGTTGTGTAGGTATTTCTCTCCTACTCCTTCAAAATTTATAGTCATTGTAACTGGCAGCATTTTCCTAAACTGGAAATAAGACATTCTGTTACATTTAAAAAATAAAATTTTAAATTACTGATGTTCTTTCAGACAAAATTTTTGTTGTGTTATAGTGAAAACTCTCTAAAGTATAAAGATTTTCTTAAAATTTTATTTCCCAGAGGCTACTTAATTTATTGCCAAGGGTCTTCTAGACCTTTTTAGTACACTTTTTATTTATTTGAAATATTATCATCACTGGAGAAATTAGCCAGTAAGGAATAAACAAATAATTAAAATCACAGTTTGCACCTCACCTTCCCACCTGAGCTGTGTGTTTATTCTTTCTGGTCCATTTGAGAATTGAATGATACTCTGGAAAGATACTGCCAGTTAAAGTTCACTTCTGAATGGTAGATGAACATTGAAAATATTGATTCCAGATTTATGTTATAGGCATGGTCAGTGATAAAGATAAACTGTTCTTATAATGCACCAGTTCATGGATTTCTTTAGGTGTTGTTAACAAGATCTCATCATTGCATTTGAAAGAAATTAAGTCTCACTTGTCAGCTTCAGAGACACCTGCAGCAGACATTTCCAATAAGAAAATGGAAACTCAGTCTTGATTTTCTTGCTGGCTTGAGAAATAAGACAGATAGAAAATGCATTTGCTTTGTCCTGATGTCACCATTTTCTTGGTATTAGGGAATGAACAAATTGAATTAATTTGGTGGCTGACAAAAAGTAACTCACAGCATCTCACAAAAGCTAAACTTGCTTTGCATCCTATCTTCTAATAGGATATTATTATTCTGATAATAAAAATGCTCATGGAAGGAACTTTGATGAAGTTTGAATGTCCTGCAAGTTTGTGGCATAAATTCTTTATGTTTGTGTTGTTGGTCCTTTGATGAAAAGGTCTAATGGGCTTAGAGGGAAAAATATTTGAAGTGTTGAAGAAAAAAGATTCTGTCTATAAAAGATGCTCTTTCTTGGCTAGAAGCTGTTATATGAACCATGAATTTTTGTATTATTGCAGGTGCTCTCTCTCCCCCACCGGAGGCTTGTTTGCTACTGTAGGCTGTTTGAAGTTCCAGATCCAAATAAACCTCAGAAGCTTGGATTGCACCAACGAGAAATATTTTTATTTAATGATCTTCTCGTGGTATGTATTTCCAGGCAGAGAGAATGAGGTATTCAGAAATCCTATCTCCATGAAATCACTGGCAATTAAGTACATGAGCATTCCTAAAAACAAATATCTGTTACCCTCTATTCCAGCAGTCCTGGGATGATTAAGAGATTTGTATTTTAATTTTTAAAATTCTGTATAATTTGCTTTTAAACTGAAGTCTTTTATTAATGGCTACACTCTGCAAGAAGGTATTTGATACAGTAACTTACTACTGAGAAAAAAAACCTCACCTCCACTTCACCCATTGTCCTAAAGGATAAACAGAGACATTATTTATTCCATGAATAATGAATTCAAGGTACTTGTGGAAAACCAAAATTACATCCTACTTTGTGTTCCCCAGATGTTCTATGAACCAGATCTGTTTGTGCATTGAAATAGGAATAGGCTCTGTTGAAATAGATTTTACAGTTGACATTACTTTTTAGTGTGCATTTAACTTCACAGACTTTAACTTGACCCAGTCTTTTGAAAAGCAGACACTCAGAACTCAGGACAGCTTGGAATTATTTGGTTGAGTTACTCTTAAAATGGGAAAATTTGTTGCACTCCATTTGGAATGCACTTGGCTGTTACCTGAAAACTGAGAACTACAGCAAATATTTCATATTTTGTTAGGGAAAAGGCACATCTCATCTACACAGTTTTGCTGTGTGTGCTTTTTTGCCTACCTGCAGACCTTAAAACCAGGAATTAAATAAAAAACATTAATCCTTTTGCTTCTGAGTATAACCTAGGAGTTGTCAATGGGAGTTTGAGTGGAAACTGATGGAACATGGTTTTCTGCTATTTTTTATTGCTTACTCAGATATCAGTAGTTCTATCAAACTGTTTGGGGAATAATATAGGCCAAATTTGTCAGTGTGGTAGCACCTAAATTTGGGGGTTTAAGGATAACTTAAATGTATTTTCATTTTTTGCTAGCACAGAAAGGATGCATCCAAAGTATTCCAAAGGTTTTGGAATTTCAAAAACTAGAGTTCTGGAGGAGAGAGAACACAAAAGGCTTTGTGTCTGGATAAAATATTAACCCTTCTGCTTTAGAGAGATGATGCTGCAGAGCTTTGGTTTTTTCAGTAGCAGGAGTTTAAATACATCAGTTGCATTCAAAAAAAGGGAAAAAATGACAAGGGGACATTTTTTCTGACAGATTTATAACTTTCTTTTAAATAAAATGTTTTCTCTTTTGCTAATTCTTCAGAGCAATCATTTTCCACAGGCACATTTGGTGGAATGAGTATTTCACTTTGTTTATCTGATCCCTTTCAGGTGACCAAGATTTTTCAGAAGAAGAAGAACTCTGTTACATACAGTTTTCGACAGTCCTTTTCCCTCTATGGAATGCAAGTTCTTCTCTTTGAGAACCAGTGTAAGTATTTCCTCTCTTTTTAGAAGAGCACTTTGTTCATAAATAAAACAAAAATGGTGTAAGTGAAAGAAATGGACAGGACTTGATCCTGAGTTTAGGACTAAAATTGCTCTGGATTTAACTTTGTTCTGACATTTAAAACAAGATGCTGTCAGTATATAAACCAGAGTTTTTTGGTTGTAGTCAGGAGCCAAATCTCCCCAAATGTGTTTGTGATTACTTGTAAAGCATAAAAGGACTGCCAAGAAAAAAAAACATCTGCTGCTGAGTCAGTGGTACCACTAGCTGGAACTGAGTGATAATAAATAATGACTCTTATAATGATATTTGTAATTCAAAACACTCTTTAATTTATTTTCCTGATTTATGGCTTAACTTTGCCTAGATAATATATACTACCTCAAATTTAAATATAAAACATAAGCTTTCATTTTCTGACACCTTTTGTTTATGTCTTTTACAAGCTGCATCAGTCCAATATTTTTTTTATCTTTAGTGCTTCCTAGCAGACAAAAACCCAAATAATTTGCTAAAATCCTGTTTCTAAGCCCAAATAGAGTATCAGTAGTGACAGCAGAGCAGAGTTGTTGGTTTGGTACATAGGGACACAGCCTGACTGAATTCATGGTTTGTGACCAAACCTTCACCCCCTGATAAATTTGGTACAGCCCAGTGTGAGCTGTTCCTGTGCTCTTCTGTCATGGAAGGTTCTTAGTTTTAATTTGTCCTTGAGAATGTGCTCCCTAAAAATCCATTGCTGTTACTGCAAGCCTCTGGAGAGTGCAAAAGGAAGGTTTTGCAGAGCTCACAGCAGCTCTGTAGCCCACAGATCCTTTCTGTGCTTTCACATGCATTCTCTCTCTCTTGTGAACATGTTATATGGTATAAAATTCAGTTTTGGAGGGGAAGGCCAAATACTTCTATCCTGGATTCTACTAAAAATAGAAGGATTTATAATTCTCTGATGCCATGTTAAATAAAATATATTTAAAAAATAAAGCATGATAAGTAGAAACACTAATCAAATAAATTTAAAAATATCTATGGTGAAACAAGAAGCAAAGGATTGGATTCCTCCCAGGGAACTGGAGACATTTTAACTGAGGCACTTCAGGAGGGCTTCTGAATTCACTGCAGTGAATCAGTGATCAGACTGCACTCTAATACTGGTGCCTCTCAGGTGGGATGTGCAATTTTCCAGTTGGGAAAGAGAAGTATTTGTCCCCTTTGATTTGTAAAATTCAATATTCTTGGTCTCCCCTGTCCCCAGCAAGCTTTGGGCTGTTTTGTCCAGAGCCATCAGTAACTCTGTGTGGAGCAGCTGTTCCCTGGTTTCAAGGGAATAAAAGTCAGTGTTGCTAAAACAGAAGCAACAAAAATATTGGTTTGGCTGCTGGTGAGGTTGAACAAATGACTGGCACTGGTGATAGAAAAATTGACTTTTAATGATAGAAGTCAATTATGTTGAGGGATGGATGAGCTGCAAAAGGGAAAACAATGTCACATATCTCTAGTAAATAAATAGGCCATATGGGAAGTATATTTTCCATTTTCAGTCAAAATCACTAACAAAATATAGAGGGGGAGCAGATCACTTAGGAGAGAGTGTAACTGGAACCAAGAAATACTGATGGGAGGGTTTCCTGATACTTGATGAATACAGTGCAGAGAAGTACCTCAGGTAATAAAATACATGTGTTTGTTACATGGAAATTCCTTCTTGGCTCGTGTGTGGGGGCAGCCCTGGTGACTTTGGGCTTGCCAGCTTTCCTTGTTTGTTTTGTAAACATTTTTATTCTTTCCCCTGGAGTGGTGCAGAGCTGCTTGCTGCATTCCCTGTGCCAATGTTCCCAACATCCCACCTGAGCCTGCCCAGCTCTGGGACCTTTTGGCTGTTCTTCTGTGTGAGGTGTTGACAACAAACCCCAGCAAAACTCCCAAATCCTTCCTCCCTCCTTCCCCTCAGGACCGTTTGAGCCTCAGGGCAGTTGCTCTGTTTTCCCTGAGGATTGTAAATGGACTTGCTTCACTTTTAGTTGCAGCTTTGATCTGGGAGTTAAGGTACCCTAAAAACACCAAAGTGAAGGTACCCTAAAAACACCAAAGTGAAGGTACCCTAAAAAAGCCAGAGTTAATGCATTCTAAAAAAGCCAAGCACGTGCACTGGTTTCCCAATAGTTGAAGTCTTGTTGAAACCTCAGGGCTTTGAGGGAGGGGAGTGCCTCACTTCATCTGCTGGCTCTTGAGGGAGGTTTTAGTACATGGGAGCCCTTGAGCTTGGGCTCAAATACTGAAGTAAATATTTGAGAGTTTTAGCAAACCCAGAGGGCAAGGCAGCTGAGTAAAAGAAAACATTGTGTTAAAATGCACATGTTGAGGTTTGCTGACACTCCATTGCTCCAGGTCTGTGCTTCAAGCAAAGACTGATTTGTTTTCTACAGCAGAACATATTTTCATTCTGAGTATCTTTCTGTAAATGAACCTTCTGTCTCAGCCAGGAGATATTTTTGACCAGCTGTTAAAATTTCAGAAGTACACCTAGAAAAGAGGCAAAGACAGTTTCCTGAAACATCTGCCTTTTATTATTAAAAGTCTATAATATGGGTCAAAAGAGGGGTGGAAAAACCAAATCAGTCCTTTTACTTCTTCAGTATATGATTTCACAGGTACTTTTAATTTTATTTAAAAGAAAAAAAAGAAAGTAGGATGTCCAGGGAGCACAATCCAATAGGAAATACTAATTGTGTACCTGTTTGTGTGTTTGTCTTCCTGCAAATGGTGAGTTAAAAGTAAAAGACAATTTGTAACATTTGAAATGTCTTCAAGTAGCCTTTACACTCAGCAAAACTTTGGTCACAAGTGGGTAAGGTAGGTCATGGGATCTGTTCCATGAAAGAAAAATTATCCTCCTTAGCTTTTTGCTTTTTCTTCCTACTGTTTTTGATATACATTGCTTATTGTACCTTAAGTGTAGCAGCTGCATAAAGATATCTCTCAATATTTGTTCAGTATTTGACAGTTAAACTGTTCCAATGTACCTGAGGGATTTTTATTCTGATTTTGTGCTGTCAGACTTCTATTTCTCTAACTTTGTATCCTCTGTGGTAATATTACTAAAAGCTTTCCGTTTTGCTGGGTATTTTTGTTAAAAGAAAAGTAATTGTAATAATCAGAGCTTAGTTTTCCTTGCCTTTTTCTTTCAGATTATCCCAATGGCATTCGGCTCACGTCAGCTGTTCCAGGAGCAGATATCAAAGTACTCATAAATTTCAATGCACCAAATCCTCAGGACAGGAAGAAGTTTACAGATGATTTGAGGGAATCAATTGCAGAAGTTCAAGAAATGGAAAAGCACAGAATAGAGTGTAAGTACAAAGGTACATATAATGGAGTATTTTCCAGCTAATCAAAATTAAAAAAAACCTAATACTGCCCTTGGTAAATTTAAATTTTAAATTAAAAATTACCATTAATAAAAGGTTTAAGTATATAACCCATTAGAATTCCTTAAAAGTTCAAAATAATGTGGGTTTTTCTGTGACTTGGTCTCAAGAAGGAGGAAAAAGCCAATAATGGCTTAAGCCCCAGCTGAGTTCATTGACTCATATTTACTGCAGTGTAGCTGCAGTGGAATTTATCTTGGACAAGCTGCAAATAACAATGGACAGAGGAGAGCTGGGTCTGTGATTTGTAGCATAAATTACAGCAAGAATTTTAGGAATAATTTGGACAGAAGAGATCTGGGTCTGTGATTTGTAGTATAAATTACTGCAAGAATTTTTAGGGATAATATGGACAGAGGAGAGATGGATCTATGATTTGTACTATAAATTCCAGTAAGAATTTTAGGGATAATATGGACAGAGGAGAGATGGTTCTGTGATTTGTATCACAAATTACAGCAGGAATTTTAGGGGCAATTTGCCTCACATTGAAATTCCCAATGATGGCCCTTCCAATAAGCTTTATTGAATTTTTCTTGATTTCCGTGTTGTAATTCCTGTAGTCAGTAAGGAAGTCATGCTCCAAACTTGCATAGATTTTGCTGGTAGCCCTGTGAGTGTCTGAAGATTAAATTTTATCCCATTCTCCCAAAAGAGGCCCTGCTCCACATCCAGCTGTGGGCAGAGGGGTGAGGCTCCCTTTGGGCACAGGGTGATTTATTAAAAATATGGATATTGATCTAGTATTAATATCCAACTGTGATGCACAAAAACTCTCTAACAGTTTAAAGTTAGAAAGTGAATGTTTATTGTGGGATAGCTCCCAAATACACACTGCATTTTACAGGTGATTACAGAGCCCTTTTATCTATACAAGCATTGAATACCCTAAATACAAATAGATATTCATCACTTTGGTACATGCCATTCCCACTTCGTGTGGTAATTAGTTCAAAAGCCATTAAGCATGCATAGTTTGTTCCTTGAAATGAGTCGGTGGTCCCTTTCATGGGGAGGGGTCCCAAAATGAGGAAGTAAATGAAGTCTTCCTCGTTCTGACCTTTCCACCTTTTCAATGTAAATATGACAAATGAACCTTGGTAGAGCTCCCATTCCCTGTCTTAATTTGGTTTCAGAACAGAGGAGGCCTACAATTGTCTTATGTTCCTAAAAGCTATTTGTTTCTATATTCTTCATTATAAACCCAGCTAACCAAACATTGTGTTGACAAGCAATCAATTATTAGTTAACTACTAACTTTTAACTTCATCAAGGCCTACCCATTTATTTTAATTAACTCCAATAAAACTTTATCTAACTAAAATCTTAACTCCTCTAAAACCTCTAAATTCCTTTATGTCTCAAGGGCTGTTGTGGGTTGTTTCATGAAATAAACACGGGCAGGAGATCTTTTTCCTTTTTAATGCCTTTATTAAAAGTGATCAGCTTGGGTGGGGAGAACTAACAGGTCCATGCTCATGCCACCACAGCTCCAGGAGTGACTCAGAGGAGGAGGAAGAGGGCAGCTGTGTCCATTGGTCTGTGGGCAGAGCTGGGGGTTCCATCTTTACCAATTCTCCAGTTTAATGTTTGAGGTTCTCTGTCTAGCTGACAAGCTTAGGGTGAGGAGTAAAAAGGGTCTTAGCAGACACTAGATTCTGTTCCTCACACCTAGACATCACTTTGCTTCATCCATTTTGTGTTGGCTCGTTGTTTTTAGGGGTTTTTGGCTAGGTTTGGGGAGGGGCTTTTCCATTTGCATGCTAACTCCGAGGTCTCCTCCTCTTCACCATCCGAGGTAACAAAAGAGTGGGCGGGTCCCCACCAGGAGCAGGCAAGGATAGGCCAGCACTGCCAGGTACCAGGGGAATGGAGACACCTCAAGTCCCTTTGAGCGAAAGGTGCTGCTGTTATTGCAGAGATATTGGACACTTTAGGAGGGTTTGTAAAAAGCTCAGTATCGATGAGGCAATAGCCAGGGAGCAAGGAGCCTTAGAGAAGGTTCTTAGAGTTGACAATTAGGGGTGTCAAGGGATTTACATTTTAGGGAATCCGATGCAACATCTAGAGAAGCCCTTGGTAAACTTTGAGGTGGGACCCCTAAATGAAGAATTTGATCTTTTGGTTGATACAGGAGCAGATAAGTCCTGTCTCAACAAAGTTCCAGAAGGTATGGTAAAATGCCCAAGAGCATCTGGGGTTAGACAAAACAGCTAGGTGAAAGGATATCCAATAGCACCGGGAGTGGCCAGTAACACCTGAACTTGTAATAGGTGATGTGAAAGTAAAAGGTGCCTTATTGTTGTCTTACTGTGTGTGAGAGTGAGTCTCACACCAAATCAGCCTCAATTTCCCGGGCAGGAGGGAAGGGGGAGGCAGTGGAAAGAGGAGTGTGTGACCTGCAAACCAGGCTGCTGTTCCCTGGGCAGGTGGGGGCTGTGGCGGTAGGGTGCCATCCTCCAGGAAGCAGCAGGGTGTCACTGACAAAAGGGGGAATGAATTCTTAACCATCAATGACAGGGAGTTAACGAAAATGACAGGTGATTACAATAACAAACAGTTAGAACTCCACCCTGGCAGCAACTGGCCCAACCTGTGAACTGTGCAACCTTTTAAAAAACTGGGCCGCTTTATCTACTCATAACATTTCATGGCCACAAGCACCAATGTAAACCCCCCCCGTGTGTGTTGCAGCGGAGCTGGAGAAGCAGAAGGGGGTGGTGCGGCCCAGCATGTCGCAGTGCTCCAGCCTGAAGAAGGACTCTGGGAACGGGAGCCTGCCGCGGCCGTGCCTGGATGACAGCTACGCGGGCGGCGAGGGGCTGAAGCGGAGCGCGCTCAGCTCCTCCCTACGGGACCTGTCCGAAGCAGGTAAGCGCTGCCCCCGCTCCTCTCTGCATGCACAGCTGCCTCCGCAGAGCCCAGCTTGCCCTGGGCCTCCACAAATAGCACTGATGGGATGGGATCTCATACTTCCAAATAGCTCCTTACTCCCCCCCGCCCCGGCTCGTGGTTAATTTCTGTTTGGTTTTTTTTTTTTTTACCTTTGTTCTGTTAAGCGGCCACTGTTTGAAAGCATTTAAGCCGTTGTAGGTTGCTATAGAAACTTTTAAAGGACAGTGAAGACAGAGGAAAAATTGTAAGTTTTTAATAAAACAGAAGTGACTGACTTGTGCTAAGAGTAATTCACTTAGTTTTCCTTTCTTTTTTTTTCATCTCCTTTGCTTTTTGCCCCTCATAGAGTAGGCCTAGAAAGGGAAGGAAAGCTCCTGGTCTCTGTGTAACGAGCGCTTTCTGTGTGTTCTGTGCTCAAGTGTACCTGTGTTACCACCTGGATGAATGAAATTGAGTGAAGCCCTACTAAATTCTCTCTAGAGCTGAGTAACACCAGTGTGCCCCTGATGCTCTTTTCTTGTTCTGTAACTCAGACACAGTTCCTAATTCTTGCAGAGAGAGGTTGTTGTGAAGTACTCTTGGCAATAGAACCAAAGGAGCCCTCGTGGACAAGGATACTGATAACTCACAAAGCCACTGATATGTCTTAAGTTTTATTAACTGATTAAAGACTGGAAAGCAGTGGTGATGTGATTTTTTTAGCCAAAGCAAGCCAGGGGAGGTTGTACATGTTTTTATTTGATGGTTTGCCTCACACCTGGCATAGCCATGTAATCTTTCAGTGTTAAAGAGTCCTGTCACTGACAAGAACTCTTATCTGAACACTATGTCCACTATTCAGAAAGTACTTCCAGAGATAGTAGCAATCTGGTTTTTTTAAATTATTTGTTTTTTAGTTCATAGGCTGTGTTGCATACTCTGCTTTGTTCTTTCAGTTGCAGTGATGATGTACAGTGTAGTCATAATTTCAGTATTCTGTATGTCTTTGGTAGTAGACACTACTTACCTATTTCCTTTTTTTTTTTAAACTAAAGAAGAGATTTTAGTTATGCTGCAATAAATAAAATTGTTGTAAACTGATATGATAGCCTGTGTTTTGTGGGTATATGTATGTGCATACAAATATGTAGAGAGTGAGCTCTTTCAATTCTTTTCTTCTCTGTTTAGGCTTTCATACTCACATCTCCATGTGCTTCATTAAAAAGACTTAGGCCCTTGATCCAAAATCAGGCTGAAGTTGAATATTGGTGCTTGCTTGGCTCCAGTGGATTTTAGATCAAGCCCTAGTCTTCACCACTCTTATCTCTCAGATTTGAGGATACTTCATCATCCTTTTCTGTTGTTTTGGTTTTATTTCATTAGAATGAGAATTACCATATTGTTAATATGTGAGTTCAGTGGGTATCTGTACCCCTAAATGTGATTTCTGATTAATTTTTTCATTCCATCAGAATTACTCATCCTTCTCTTTCAAACACTGCCATGTATTTGAATTCATATTATGGGTTTAATTCAACAAACCAGCATTTTTGTAATCACAAACACATTTCACAGGGCATGCCTACCACTGGCATGCTTATTACTGAAAATAACCTTTCTCCATGACAAAAAGTAGAAATCACTCACAGACTGAGGGTTTATCAATGAGTTTGTTAAACCCAACTAAACTTAATTTTAACTTGAAATAGCTGAAAATTATGGAGAGCTTCTGTTTGGTCTTGTGCAGTGCAACTGACTTGAGAAACAACCAGCCTGTTATTTGCTTTGTTATTTGGTGGAGTGACTTCAGGGAGATGATCCAGAACTTCCCTGCCTTCTCTCAGGGAATAGCTTGCATGTGAGGCTAATTTTATTTTTAATGTGGGAGAGGTGATCCATAGAAAAGCAAAGAAATCTCTTTCAGTTAGGAAGATACTGCACCCAGTGATTATCCCATATTAAACTGCTTCTCTAAAACAGGCCTGAGTTAGGTTGCCTCAAATGCTTTTGTGGATGAAGCACAGGATGAACAAAGAGGAGGAACAGGAGTCTGTTACCCTGTAGGAAAGTGGATTTTTAGAGAGACCCTTTCTACATTGAATCAGAAATAAATCGAACAAACATGAGAAAATGGCCTGGTTGCATATTTATGCAGGAAGGCAGATAAATGTCCAGTGAACATTGCCAAGCCAAAATTTAAACTGTGTATTCAGTGAAAGGAAATGTGACTGGACAGCATTTGGCTGCACAGGTACTTGACAGAACTCTTTAGGAAAACAACCCATTGCTATGCCCCAGACATCCCAGTAAATGGAGGTTCTGGGAAGTGACTAAATTTCTCTGAGTGGCAGTTCAGAAGCTTCTGAGATCTAACAAATGCTGATACCCTGACTGATTCTGCTCCTAAGCTGGGAATGCACAGAAAGCAGGATTTGTCCATCAGGAATGCTTTCCTGAGAATGGTTCCATGCCTTGCCAGTTCTTTCCATGGAATAGAAAACACAATGTAGCATCCAAGTGTTTCAAGATGCGAATATGATACAAATATTTAGAGCTTTATTTTTCTCTAAAGTGAAATGTATCATTTTCATTGAACATTCTTGAGCTATAGTCAAGGAAGAACTGAATTTATTTGTTCCAGACTTTGAAATTCTTAATTTATATAAAAATATTAGAAGCCAGACAAATTTTAATCCAGCTAAAGCTGAGTTTTATGAGTTTACAGGAAGATGGGAAAAGTGTGATGTTCCCTTATGGCCACTGTTCCACAGGAAGAATGATTTGGTCACTAAAGCAGAGCAGGAAGGGTTGGACTGGTTGTGTTTCCCATTCTGTTTCTCCCAGAAACAGTCCCCTTGGACTGATTTTAAGTTCTTTAATTTGAATTCCAGCCACTTTGAGTTGCTGGGGGACCCAGTGCTTTTACATTGAGTTTACAGTGCAATTCAAACTTTATTCCCACATCCCTAACCTGTAAGGTGGGAATAATACTTACACCCTGAACTGGTTTAAAAAATGCAATTTTCTTGTTTGCCCCAGCACTCCACAACTGGCACAGCCAGGTAGTGCTGCCCAGGTGAGGGGGGTACAGTGGTTCCTATTACTGGGAGCTGGGCTTGTCTAAAACAGCCACAGACCAAAAAAGATTACTGCAAAACCAAACTAAACAAAAAGTATTTTCAGGATTAAAATAATTCTATTTCAGTGTGAGATCTTAAGATTCTACCTGTTTCACAAAGAAACAAGATGAAAATGTGACAAAGAGTACTTTCCCCCTCAAAAGTGGTCTCTCTAATGATTGGAGTGAGCAATTTAATTTAAAACTTTTTTCCAAGCTTTTTCCCCCAAGACACTCAAAGCCAAATCATAATACCAAATCATAATATCACATCATTGATAGTGTTTAGCTATCAATTATCTCACTGGCCCAGAAGAGTTTCAAGAGCTATAGAGCAGCAGTGAGAAATATTTCCATGTACTGAGCTGATCTGCAGCCTGAGCTGTGAGATCACCACACATCCTGTGATGTGTCCTGCACACATCCATTCTGCAAGCTGCAATGGCTTTTGTTAATAAAGCTCAATATTCTTTTGGCATGGTTAAGTTTGTAAAAACCTTGTAATCACTTCATATTTCTACTATAAATCTGAAGTATTCTTGGCCCCATATAATGCATGTTCATGTGTGGGACATATGTTCATATGTGGACTTGTGTAAGTTAAAGATACTTCTTACAAGGGATATTCATATCTAACAGATAAGGCTAAATTAATTGAAATTTAATTTTATAAATTAAAGTCCACTCTAACAGCCTTAAAAAATTAAAGTAACCATAATATATTAAGCAAAACTAATATTGAGATTTGACAAATACCACCTTGCTTTGTACCACAGCTACTAATTATCCTGCCAGTACATGCTTAGATGCAATTCTAGTTGAGAATTTCCCTGAGATGCATGTCAAGGCTGGAGCTCCAGGGAGGCATTTCTGGGATGGGATGCTATCCCAAAGACCAGAGAACAGTCTGGAATAAACACACATTGGCAGGGGGAGTGCTCCAGGGGATTTACTGAGTAAACCCATCACACTGCATGTCAGCACAGAATTGGGTTCAGTTTGTTTTTAGGAAAAGGAACAAAGCCTCTGTACAGCAATAGTGCCTATCTGAGGGAAATTACAGGCATTTTAAGGAGGATTTTTCTGTTTGTTCTTGGCTTTGCAAGTACTACTTTGCCCTGGAGTTACTCTGAGCAAAATTCCATCTGTCGCTCTCTGTCCGTATTTACTGTGTCCATGGTTATCTGATCAGACTGTGACTCCTGCCATATGCAAAAGGCATTGGATTTTTTTGTTGTGTTCTCCTTCATTTTTGGCCACGTTTAATGCCCCGTGTCAGCTCTCAGTCTTATTTGCAAGCCTGACTGCTAAGTTCTGAGGCGGCTGCCGCAGTGTGTTTGCATCAGCAAGCAAGAGTGGTTGGAGTGTTAATCAGTACTAATCCTGTTATCAGAGCAGAAAAATATCAAACCTGACTAGGAGTCAAAATAAGGGATGAACAAACCCAGTTTTTCTTGGGGGGGCTCATAAGATAGTACAGCTCTGCTTTGGCTGAGGCTAAAACTGCAGCAGGATACGAAGCAGTGAGCTTTTGACAAAGAGCCCATCCAGGGGAATTGTTCCAAATCCCAATGAATTTCACAAGTCAAACACAACACCTTGACCCCAAACATCTTCCCCTCAATTTAATGTCACTGCAGAGGGGATTGTACTGGGGAGCAACTCATTTTAAGAGGGGAAAATGTTCCAGGATGTAGCCTGGAACTGTAGCTCTTAAGAGAAACTTGTTTCAGGGCAGTGTCCTATGACCAACCAGGTCAATGTTATGCTTATAAATCCAGCAGGTGATAGTTTTTGATCATCCTGATCCTTTGGGTAGTCTGAATTGCCCTATGAGCAGTTCCACTGCTCCCTAGTTCTGATCCCAGGTGCTTTTGGGGTGTCTGTGATTAGGGTACATCATTAATTGGTTCAGTGATGCTGAAATCCTCACATTCTCCCCCAAAACTACCTCTCAGAGTAGAAGATTCTGAAGGCAGCAACGTGCCAATGCAGGGTGGAGATTGATATTTGGTCTTGCAGGAAAACAAGGAGAGAGTGCTGAGAAAGCTTTGGTTTCTAAAGCCCTGCAGATTTTAGGGAAGCTCTGAGCACCAGGAGGGTTCCTCAAAGCTCAGCTTTGTTTCTACACCCTGCCAGGAAAGTATTCTGAAACTTTGCAAAGCAAAGCTCCACAAGCTGTTTTCTAAAAATCTCTATTTCCACTGCAGCCAGATGCTATTTTCTCTGCTGTGAAATGAGAAAGAAAATCTGGGATCCTGTGTCCTATACAGCCACTAAGGTTTTCTGGCTCTTTAGGCAAACAGTCTGGAGTTTCACGTGTGGGTTTAGGCAAAAGTTTTTGCAATTTGAGAATGTTGGAGTACAAATCCGACATGCTTAAAGATAAAGCACTGCACAGCTAAACAAACAAAATCTAGCCATAATGTCAAGACAGATTCCAGATTTACTGATCAAAAATTAAGTTTAGTTTTTTTTTAAACCTCATGAAAGAAGATTGTATGAAATCCACTGAGGTTCAAAGCTGAAATTGAAATGATCAATTTGATAAAATGCTAAAACTGATGAAGTGATAAAACTGATCGAGTGATAAAACCGATGCCCCTCACAGTGCCCCACACTGAAGTTCAGAATATTTCAATGTTAAATTTTGCATTTAAGTTAATGCCACCCCACAACTGTATCTCAATGTTTAAAGTAAAAAAAACCTTCACGGCCAATCAGCTTCCAGGAAACCAAACCCTTTAAAATCCTTGCTGCTCAGCATCACGAGCACAGCGCTAAACCCAGCTGCCCAAACACGCCTACTTAAGAATTGTGCAAATTGCCAACAACATCACACCCCGCTCGTGTGAGCCGATCCCCAGCATCAGCAGCACCTCTCCAAATTCCCAGTGCCCCCAGAACCGCAGGCAGTGCAGGGAGCTGCTGGCCCCGCTGGCCCTGACGCCGTGGGGCTGTGGGGCCGCACTCCTGGCGCCGGTCGTGTCGCAGTCTCTAATCTCTGCTGTTGCATGTCCTGGGCAGGCAAGCGTGGGCGACGCAGCAGTGCAGGATCGCTAGACAGCAATATGGAAGTAAGTAGGAAGTTCCTGATGTCTAGCTGGATGTGATGATGTGCATTTCAAACCTTTCTTTTATATACATACATATTTTTTTGCTCTTTTTTCTTCTAACATATATATATATATATATATATAACCTGCCTGCCACGAATAAAATGCATGCCTAGGCTATTCACTCTGTATTCTTCCAGCTTACAAAGCACTGACAGCTTGTTTTAGAGCAATGCCATTTTTGGTTTGAGCTAACCTTGTTCCCTTTGTTCCTGCAAGCATGGTTAAATGGATATGATGTGTCCTTTTGCCACCATTTCAGTCTGGTCCCAGCTTAAAAGCCCACTTGCTCTTTGTTACCAAGTACACTGTTCTTGCTGTTTGATATTTAGCTACTACTATTGACTGTCATGCTCAACCATCTCCATTGCTTATTTTCGAGTTCAATTGCTATATGTATGCAGTCATGACACCATGGAATTGCACAGATAGGGCATGGGAGGATAAAAAAATTATTCAGAAAGGTGAATTCAATGTGGATTTCATGAGATTTCATTCATCTTCAAACCATTTTTATATACTGTTCATGTCTCTGAATTCAGCTTGCAGATTTTTTCTTTTATTTTTTTTCTTTTTTTTTTTTTTTGTGTTTGCTTTAGGTAGATTACAGTTTAAATCTAGCACACTTTGCCTAACTACTGTTGTGTCCCGTAACTCTTTAAAAATACAAACCCCAAATTTCAGCAACTAAATTCCAGGCTAAATAATAGAGAATGTTGGACCACAGGTCAGGATAATATAAGCACATAGAAATCTTAGTGGCAAAAATGGTATGGTTCCATTTAACACAAAATGCAGAGGTAGGACTGAGAAGCAGCACTGTCATGTATAGTAGTGGAAAACTGCTATAAGTAAAGATTTAAATACCATTTTAAAATCTGAGCTGTAACTGTAATATTTGCTGCTGTATGTTTAACTATTTAGGTTGCATTTAATGTAGTGCTTTTTTTTTTTTTGTGGTAAAAAAGCAACTATGGTATTTTTGCAGTATTTTAAAATGTGTTTTTCCTTTAAAACACACACTTGTAGGTCTTATATCATGTTACTCTCCCGTGACATTTTTTTTAATTTGAAGTCATATCTCTCGATGTCAAAATACTGAGAGAAAATCGCTCAATGCTTAACATCCCCTAAGAAGGGCACGAGGGTCCCATTGGCCACTTAGGGAAGGTGGAGATAAAATTTCCCCTAGAACTCTCTAACATAATCCACCCATGCGAACCCTAAAGGAGGAGTTTGTGGGTCAGTGTGAACTTTTTCTTTTTTTTTTCTTTTTTTTTTTTAATTTCCTTTTCGAACATTTCAAGATTTTTTTTTTAATTTTTATTTTCTATTAATTTCTTTTTAGGGGTCCATCATTAGCAGTCCTCACATGCGCCGAAGAGCTACATCAACCCGAGAGTGTCCATCTCGCCCTCACCAGACTATGCCCAACTCCTCCTCACTCCTAGGGTCCCTGTTCGGTAGCAAGCGGGGCAAGCCCCCCTCGCAGAGCCACGCGGCCGCGCAGCCCCCGCACCACGCGGAGGCGGCGGCAGCGCCGCACCCGCACCACGCGCAGTTCTGCCACCAGAACCCGCCGCCCTACCACCACCACCACCACTACCACCCGCCCCCGCACCCGCACCCGCACCCGCACCAGTACCACCAGCACGGGCACGGCCACGGGCACGGCCCCTACCTGCCGCACGCCCCGCACCACGCCCCGCACCACGCCCCGCACCACCACGGGCCGCCCCCGCCGCCCGCCGCCTCCGGCAGCAAGCCCAAACACAGCGGCATCAGCACCATAGTCTAGGCCTAAAGACCCTCCTCGAGACTCTAGTTCTAAACCCAGCTGCAAAGGCACTTACAGGAAGCAACAAAATCACACCGTCAGTTTTTACCTAGGCCGTTTAATGAGCTTAAAGGCTTGCTGTTACTAAATAAAATAATTCCGGTTAGCCCAGGCCATACTGGTTTTACTTATCTACTGGATAGATGTTCACCACCATCTGGTTAGTTCTTATTTCCAAACTTGCCTTGAAAACGTGCTGCTTGCTGAATCTGAGGAAAGCTACCTTTTACACCAAACCCCTGGACAATTTTACACACGTAATGAAAAGCTTAGCCTATGGAAAAAAAAAAACAGGGAAAAAAGTCAGACAGAACCAAGTGTTGCATTCTTGCTCTTTTATTCTCAATGGGCAAAAAAAATAAGTAGACCTGATATGGTTGATGAAAGTACGTAAGTAAACTTTATATAATATAAATATATACATATAAATATATATATATATACTGTATAGTTAACATTTGTGCTTGGAAAGAAATTTTTTCAGTCCACAAAACTAGCAATATAGACTTTACAAGGAATTCCACTTACTTGATAGGACAGTATAATAGATGAATAGCATATGAAAGAGTAGACCAAAAACATTAAACGTTAGAAACCAATTTCAAACATTTCAGTATTTTCATCAAAAGTCCCCTGGACTTGTTAAGATTTCTAAGCAATCATTACTAAATGTGCCAAGTAACATAGCATTTAAATGTTGTACTCCAATACTGCTTTGTATAAATCCTTATTTTATTAACACGATGATATCATACGTAATCAGTATTAGAGCTGCTCTGCTATTTCAGGTAAGCAAACTCGTTAAGATGCAGTAATTATTCCGTAGCAATGGAGGGTGCCCACGTACCAGGGGGCACCTCCAAGCATTGGTCACACGAGTTCTTAGACACTTTAAAGGCTGTGATAACTGTGAATTTACATGATCCACATTTCTTTTGTAAGCATATGGATTGAAAGAGCACACGGGAAGAGTTCTGCCAGGTGCATGTAAACACTGCAAAAACATTCATCTCAAACATGAAAATGGCAAACCTCCATCCTTCTCAGCTACTTTGGTTCCTCTTCACCATAATTGCTCATTTTTACCCCCAGCAAAGCTGAATTCTAGTCCAGAGTGTTTCCAGTGGAAGTGCTCTAAAACTTGAAGGTTTGTTTTAGAATTTAGTATAGGGTTTTTATATATATATATATATTAAAAAAAATTAAAAATCTGTAATTCCATGTAGCCATGTGCTAGCAACGAAGTGGCTTTACCATTTTTACTCATCACATTTGTTAGTTTGAAGCACCCAGCACTCAGCAGGCTGAGTTTATGCTCAAACCCTCACTTCCATAGTCCAGTTAGTTGCAAGACATCACATAAAAATAGGCTGTGCTGTTGTTGCTTATGTGTTGTAACCAAACAATTTGCAAATTTCTCTACAATTTGTATCCCGAAATCCTGTACAAAGTTATCCATGGCACCTACTTTGTAGTTTCAGCACTTTGAGCCACTGCAAGGACTTAACACCTAAACAGTAGAGACAAAGGAATCACAACTGCAAAACTGTACCAGCCTAAAAGCAAACCTTGAAGAGGATGAGCAAATGTTCCAGTGAGAGATGGGTAAAAGCAATGACAGCTCCAACCCGTCGGGTTTCTGTGTAACAGAAAACAAACAGTAATAAAAGTGTCCCAAACCGGGAGGACATGGGAGCAACAGAGTGACTTGTCCTGTTAGCTTGCTCATGGCATCTCTAGCGTGGGGAGGATGGGAGAGGTTCAGTCATTTTTTTCCCTTTCATACCATGGATACCACAATACCAGCAAAACTGCAAACTGAGCACTTTGTTCACCTCCACAGAGAGCAAATACAGCAATCTAGAGTTTAACCTTTTGTTTCCAGCAGTCCACGTTTGTTTCACACATGTGCAATATGTTTTCCCCTTCTGCTCCTTCTCCTCAGAATGATCTCCATGAAAAGAAAACAAGTGATTTTTATTTTTCTGTGTCACTCATTCTATTCTAAATTCTGCGGCTTACCTTAAGAGGGCTCGCCCGGGTCCCCTGAGGCTCTGTTCCTTGCAGTTTAAAAAATATATACTGTTCTTATAAGGGAAAGTAGAACTGTCTGCATGTCATCTAATGTTATTAGTGTGAGGCTACACTCTACATATTGTATAATTGCAAAATATATCAGTGTTCCTGTTGATATTAGTTGAAGTAAAGTGATAACATATTTCAATATGTAGACTTTTCTTCATACATCTGTACCAATAGTAGAGTCTAACTGTAATTTATAGGTTGTTCCAGAAAAGATGAAGAACCATTTAGGTGCAAACATCTCTGAGAAACTGCATCTTTTAATTAAAACAGAGGTAAGAAAGCTCCTCTTCACTGGGTGATGGAGTCTGTACTTGTTTCAGATGCAGAGGCATAATGGAAGTAAAATTCTGTATATGGAATAAAGGCAGAATATGCAGTAGCAGTGGAGAGGAAAATCTGACTCACTGTGTTGATTAACACTGAAGATATCAAATCTCCCAGATCTGCATTTGCTTTATGTTTAAAAAGCCCTTTCATTCATTTAAATTAGAATTGCATATAAATATTCTGTGCTTGAACAGTGAGCCACAGTTTAATGCCTGCCCACTGATTTTCCATGTGCAATCGATGTATTTGTGAACCAGAGTGTTGAGGAGATGTCACAAACGTGCATGCACAGAAACATTTCCACGTGGTTCCATGGGCACTGGGGAGGAGCTGTGCCTGCCCTGGGCGTGCAGGGAGTGTGAAATCACAGATCACAGAAACCAAAACTGGTCACCTGAGGGCACAGCATTTGGAAACTCTGTTCTTTCAAGCCAAGGAGGAGAAACAGTGGACTTGACTCTTTTTTCCCCCCTAGTTTTGTTCTGTTTTGTTTCTTAGACTGTGTGTTTCTATGTACTCCAACCAAACAAATGTGTCTTGGTGTCAGCACAAGTCTCCAGACCTTTGCTGCTTGTTTAGGGTCATAGTAAAACCTCTCTGACTCCATCCTTGATCAACAGTTGCTTAGAGCAGTGTGGGTCATGCTTAGAATAGGAGAATTCCAGCACTTAACACTGGGTGGGGTTAAGAAAATGAATTAAAATGAATTCTTCAGCCTGCAGACAGGAGTAGAATGGAGAGGGTTTTTCTTAGATGCCATTGCCAATTACTAACTGGTACAGAACTGCATAGAGTGGCCGTGGTTCTCTCTTCCCATAAATGATGTGGCAAAGCAGTAATGCTGATCTGAACAAATGAAAGGGAAATGTAAAGAATGAAGGTGTGGCAACAACAAAAAAAAATCTTTTCTGGGACAACAATGAAATATATATTTGGGGTTTTTATTTTTTTAAGTTAAGAATGAAATGTAAAACAATGTAAAAAACAAAATATCAAAGTTCATCCTAATATAATGTGCGTCTTGTATTGCTAAAAAAAGAGAGTCGAACATACAGTGTAGAATGATTTTCCCATCATGTACTGCATGCAGCAGAAGCCTCTTGTTTCTTGATAAAATGAGCTGAAAGACAGTCAGCAGATATTTAAACACTGAATCTCTAGATGTTGACTTGCTGTTCCATATGAAGCTGTGTGTTTTCTGCAGTTAAGCATGCATTTTGCTGTTCCCTTGTAAAATACCATCGCACTTCTTGCCTGCAAAATGGATTCTCGTGTATATATTTCAAAGAAAAGTGGAACCAATAACAAGATTCAATTTGGAAAAGAGAAAAGGGGGTGGTGAAAATGGGACCAGTAGGGGGAATAGAGAATTCTCTAAATTGTACATAGTGTGTAAATTAGCATTACTGTAAGTCTGCAGTCACTTTGAGGTTGCCTATCTCCTGCTAGAAACTTAAATCAGCTTTGAGTTGTACTAAACTGTTAGAATTAGGTCTTGAATGCAGACTGTTAAAGACTTCAAAAATCATTATGCTTACAAGAAGCTTCTGTTCTGGGGAGGCTCGAGACCCCTTTTGTAACTCTGGGGAAGAAAGGAGTGCTTTCATTTTAATATGCATTCTGTTTGTAAGTAGTAACAGACCCTATTGATGTAAAACTATAACTGTGATCATGTGGAGAAATCAAATAAATCATTTAAAACTCTTTGTTTCTCATTTCATGAAATCCAAGAGCTTCAACTCTTCATATTTGAAATGAAGGAAATTCCTTCTAATGATATCCTGGTCCTGCTGAAGCAGTGGGATTTGTGCTGCTCCCTTCAGAGGGGCCAGGAACTGAGGATCAGGTAGAGGAGGTGGTGAGTGGAGTCTGTGACCCCTCCTCAATCAGCTTGGATTGGTGTGGTGGTGCTGAAATAAATTGAGTTCCAGAGTCACTGAAGACCCAACAGCCAGGTGTGCAGACAGACAGGGAGACAGTGACTCCAGCACCCAGGTGTGCAGACGGACAGGGAGACAGTGACTGCAGCACCCAGGTGTGCAGACGGACAGGGAGACAGTGACTCCAGCACCCAGGTGTGCAGACAGGGAGACAGTGACTCCAGCACCCAGGTGTGCAGACAGACAGGGAGACAGTGACTCCAGCACCCAGGTGTGTAGACAGACAGGGAGACAGTGACTCCAGCACCCAGGTGTGCAGACAGACAGGGAGACAGTGACTCCAGCACCCAGGTGTGCAGACAGACAGGGAGACAGTGACTGCAGCACCCAGGTGTGCAGACAGGGAGACAGTGACTCCAGCACCCAGGTGTGCAGACAGACAGGGAGACAGTGACTCCAGCACCTGGGTGTGCAGACAGACAGGGAGACAGTGACTCCAGCACCCAGGTGTGCAGACGGACAGGGAGACAGTGACTGCAGCACCCAGGTGTGCAGACGGACAGGGAGACAGTGACTCCAGCACCCAGGTGTGCAGACAGGGAGACAGTGACTCCAGCACCCAGGTGTGCAGACAGACAGGGAGACAGTGACTCCAGCACCCAGGTGTGCAGACAGGCAGGGAGACAGTGACTCCAGCACCCAGGTGTGTAGACAGACAGGGAGACAGTGACTCCAGCACCCAGGTGTGCAGACAGACAGGGAGACAGTGACTCCAGCACCCAGGTGTGCAGACAGACAGGGAGACAGTGACTCCAGCACCCAGGTGTGCAGACAGGGAGACAGTGACTCCAGCACCCAGGTGTGCAGACAGACAGGGAGACAGTGACTCCAGCACCTGGGTGTGCAGACAGACAGGGAGACAGTGACTGCAGCACCCAGGTGTGCAGACAGGGAGACAGTGACTCCAGCACCCAGGTGTGCAGACAGACACTGCAGAGGCCCTGGTGGACAATTCCCAAACCCCTCTTTGGGACCTTCTGGCCCAGGGCTGTGTGTGCAGCTGACCCCAGGCAGGCTCAGGAGCTCCTGTCCAGGGCTGGGCAGGGCCCTGTTTGTCCTTGCCAGGGCCAGGTCCTGCTGTGGAACCCCCAGGAGCTGGCAGTGCCTCTGGGGCCATGAGCAGGGAGCCCTGGAGCCCTCAGCCCAGCACTGAGTAAGTACTGAGTAAGTAGTGCCCAGTTACTCCTTGTCCTCTGTTTGTTGTGTGTCTCAGCTTCCAGCCCTGAAGGATCCTTTGCCACGTGGCCTTCCCAGTATTTGAACTGCAGTTCCAGCTTGACAATCACTGTGGGATATTCCATTGTGCCCTGACCTTGGTGCATTTCCAGCCTTTCCAGGGGATTTCCAGTGTGTTCTGGAAAGCCTGGCCAAGCTAATGCTCAGCTCTCAATTAAACTAAACACTGTGCTTGCTTCTGTTTTCTATGAATTTTAGGAGATTCTTGAATTATTTTGTGGGAATAGTCAACTATGACCTCTTTCTGGAGGGCTGTAATTTCAGGATGTGCATCTTCAGCAATGATTTATTTTTTGATAGGTAAGTACCCACTCACCATCGTCCTCTGTGCCACCCTCTGAGCTGTGAGACCCCTCTGAAGGTGCCCAGTGCCTCTGGTATAGAAACATCCCCTAGTGGAAGTAGAAGAATTTGCAGAGCTGTTCTTCACTGATGCTTCTAGTCCTGGTTTAGAAATTAGGATTTGTAGAATTTAAGTAGATTTTGAGAAGACAAGAGGTCTGCTCATGGCAGTGCACACACAGATTGCAGGAATGAGTTGTCATGCAATAAACAACTTCTCAAGCTCTTCTAGATAGCAACTTTTTAAACAACAGATTCTTTCCCAAATATTTTTTACATTTGTTTTTTGGTTGAAACAATGAAATGCAAGATTAAAAGGACAGAAAAACAAAATAAAGAACTTTAAATGTTTTGTCTGTATTTTCCTTCAGATTTTTGTTGACTTAACAATCAATGAATTCTATTTAACTTTGTTTTTTTCCAGTTGGCCTAATGATTGATTTTCATTCAGAGTTTCATAAAAACAGGTATGGTATTTTAGCACATATTTATTTTATTTTAATAGTTGTGTAGTGTTTTATTCATCTCCACCCTGTGTTACAGCTGCATTAAATACACCTTTTCCAAAGGAATCTTTCTGGATTTTTACCCTACTTAGTGATTTTTGCTGCTGTATTTTGTTGACATAAAATTCCTGGAAGGGAACATAGCACAACCAATCTAATAGAAATATCTAAACCACACAAAAATTTCATTTTAGGTGTATTTTTTTAGTAGGCCTTCTTTCTGTTTTCTATTATTTCAAGAATTAAAGCCAAATCCTGTGTTACTCAGCAAAAGTAAATCAACTGCAGGATGAGGCTGGTCATGAAAGTTAGGAAAATCTTAAATTAATATTTCTGCTGGAAGTTCTTCCTCAGCTAAGCAAGACTTAAATGAAAGTTGTGTGGGTGATGCTGACTTGAAGGCATCACTTTTTTCAAATCTTTAGATTTATTATTTTTGCCATGGGAATAAATGCTCATTTTTAGGGATAAAATGAAAAAAAAAAGCCGTTATTTAGCATTTTTGCAGTAACTGACTTGTGAAATTAGCAGCATGGTTCAGGAGACACAGCAGCTGAAAGCAGCCACAGGAGAGTGCAATCCATCAGCTCTGCTGGGAAATGGCACCACTGGAGCTTTCCTTTATTTTTCATACTTGGACACAGTGCTTTAGACAGGTCTGTGTAATGAGCAAAGCAAAAATAATCTGTCTTTAACAAGATGAGCAGGAAAAATTCATTCCAAGGCAAATGAAATATTAGGAGTGCACGATGGAAATGTCTTTTCTCTGCAGTTTCTCAGCTCTGCCACAGCACAGTGCCTGGTTTCTGATGAGGAGATGGGCCCTGGGTGTGTGTCCAGGGAGGTGGGAAAAGCAGGGACTGTGCAGGAGTTCTGTGACTCAGCAGTGGGGTCAGAGTGAACCAGGGCTGGAAATTAATTCATTTAATCATTGCCAGTCTGGTTCTGTAGGGATTTTTTATAGGAGCAGAGCTCAGCTGAGTGTGGGGCCCTGCAGGGAGGTGCCCACCCCCTGAGCATCCTCCCCCTCCACCAGCTCCCCGTGTGCTCTTGGCTGGTTAGTCCTTCACTTTGCTGGCTAATATTTATTTATGTCCATCTCCAACAAGAAAGAACATTTTTATTTAATGATTCATCCTTTATATTGTCCTTGCCATCTTTCTGGTAGTCTCGTTTCTCTGCTTCTGCCTCAGCCCTTACACCAGGCTCCCAAAAATGACTCTGCTGTAATGAAAAATAACATCCAAAAAAACCCAACCAAACCCCAAAAGCAACCAACCAAACACACCCCTGCAATCACCAGAGTTTGAGATGCTTCTGTTGTCCTTCAGCCCCTGAGTTTGGAAGAGCAGCAACATTTTCCAGCCCAGTGACAATGTGCTGAATATTCCAATTCAGACTTGGAGCATCCCAAGTGTTTATAGCCCTGAATTTTCATGGCATTTCAGCAGGTTTTAAAAATGTCCTTGATGATGTGCTAACTCCTCTGCTATGCCAGTCTGTACATTTTCAAAATAATTTGTTTGTGTATTTTATGCCTAAAGGAGGAGGAAACTTTGTTTTTGCTCTTCCTATTTTTTTTCTACTAGTGCAACACGCAGCTTTTTGGGCTGCTGCAATACTCCATGGCCCTGCTCACAAATTTCCAGACTGCCAGCATAGCTTCATAAAAAAAATAAAATATATATATATACATATCTACTTGTCTATATATTAGTAGTGAACCACAGGGGACATGTCCTGAGCAATTCCTCTGACTGCAGGAAGTTGAAATGACTTTGAAAAAAAGCTGGTGAAAAAGCACTGGCATTTTGGGTTATCTGTTTCTCTTCCCAGATGCAAAAAGGGAGAAACAGATGCCTCATTGGACTAATAATTAAATAATTAATTAAGTTATTAATATAAATAGATAAATATTTAAATTATTTAATACAAATACTTAAATTATGTAATATAAATAATACAAATAAGAAATTAATTGATATTATACTAATAATTATTAATGAAATGTTCTTGAGCTCACAGAGCTCCTTCCTTTTCTCCAACATTACAGTGCAATGGAGTTCATTTTGGCAAAGAGGTTCTTGACCCATCTCCCCTCTGTGTTCATTAACAGTGCCAAGATGTGCTTTATCCAGTTGCTGCAAGGTCTTTTTATAGCCAGCCTTGGCCTCCCGCTCACCACTGTCCCCTGTGTGTGATGTGAAGGCAGCAGCACTCTCCAGGCTGGCCTGCACTCCTTGGGTGCAACCCCACAGCAAAGCTTCTCCCCTGCACTGAGCTCAGCTTATCTCCCCTCACTGAGCCAGAACTTGATTTCAATACATTGTTTGGCCCATTTTCCCTTGCTTGAAAAATGAAATCTTACTTGGCCGTTAAAAAAAAAAAAAAGTGAAATAAAATATAAAATACTTCAAAACATGAGGCAATTTAGTGCTTCCTTTTGATCTAACATGGCAGAGCTGATGGGCAATTTCCCTGCAAGTGCCACCTGATGTTGTGAGGAATCCCTTTCACTAACAGAATGTATCTTTATTTTTCAGGTGGTTTTTTAGATGGCCACAGTCCAGTCAGTGTGGATGGACGAGAGCCTGGACAAATTTATTGATGTATTTACACAGTGACCATGTTAACATCTGGGTTTCAAACACATCTCATCACTTGCACAGCACGTAACCAGGAGCAAAAGTGGAAATACCAGTTCCTGCCCTCACCTCTCCCAGGACTTCATTTGTGAACCAGCTTTTTAAAAAAATATTCCAAGCCAGAAAGTGATGCAATGAGCACATCATCAATGAGCACACGCCTGTGGGAAAGACAATTATGGATGTCAAGAGCAAAACTTTCATACCATCTGTCAGGAGCAAACAATCATTGCATAAAGAGAGAAGGTACTTTATATATTTTCCTGGAAGTGCTGCAAAGCCTGGTGAATGTTTTTGTGAAGTAATTTAGTGACACTTTTTCAGTAAATAAAATATCTATGTCTCAAAGAGGTAAATGTTATCAGGTCATTTTATTATTGAATACCAGTTTTTAAGCAGCTGCTGGAAAAAGATGGAAGAATAAAAAGGAAAACTGAAGGGTAATTTTATTGTAGTCATTTACTGATCTCTACTTCTCTTGCATTAATTCACTCCTTCTCCAGAAGGAATTCTTCCACTTCTGTGTGGAATGGGCTGAAATGGACATCGCTGTGGGAGTTGTGGTGGTTCACAAAATGAGAGTTATGAGGAGCTGTAACAGCTGAGGGATTAGCTGGCCCAGGAAGGGAATGGAAATGATGGGAACACGTGGATGGCACAGACAGCAGAGAGGAGTCATAAATAAAAGTAGGGAAAAGAAAAGGTTGGGTATGTTGGTGAACCAAAGGACAAAAATACGGATTTTTATTTTTCTTTTTTTCAGTAGATGGTGCAGTTCTGTGCAAGGCAATTTGAAGATGTGTCAGGTCAGGGTGGAGGGATTCTGCAGAGAACTGCAGCTGCCAAGAGTGTGATTTCAGCTGTGGTTACACACAGCACTGGATGGGACAAAATCCGTGGTGTGGCACCACTGGTGCCAGCGCAGGGACAGAGGATTCTCTGTGCCAGTGATGGTCCACCTGCAGTTTCATGCTGTGGGTGTGATATCACCCCCTGTGACTGGAAAACCCCAGGTGTGTATTTATTTAGGATACACTCCCAATGCCATCCTCATGCCTGCTGAGTGAGCACACAGGGTGGGGTGTGCTGGCTGCTGCCTCAGTTCTTGTGAACTTCCTGATGAGGCATCTTTTCCCTGTGCTTCCCAACTGCCCAGCCTTGTTTTCATTCTTTGGATCATTTTCTTCAAGCAGTTTTCACCATGCTCTGTTTATCCTTTCTTTCAAGCTGCCACATCACCCCTACATCACCAGAACCTGCCCGACTTGTCTCAGGAGAGGGTGGCCTCAGTTCAGCCCTTTCATCCCTGATATTCAGTTTGGGAGGTGTTGTGGGACCTACACCTCTCCTGACCCCAGGAAGATAAAAAAACTCATTTTTTAATCATTTTTTACCTCTCCTGCCCAGAGCTGGTATGTGGCACTGGTGTGGCAGTGCCACCCTCAGAGGGACATGGTGTGGCTCTGCCCCATTAACCCCATGTGTCACGAGGCTGAGGCTTTTCCCCTTCTATCCACACCATCAACCACCTGTGGATACCCTCTGGAGGCACTGGCACCTCATCACTGCACCCCAAAGATTGCCAAATGCTGCACCCAGCTCAGCGTTCCCCACCCATTGTTCCCTGCCTGCTAGGATTAGACATCACCTCTTGCTTTTCCACCCTTCAAAATGAAAAGAAGCAGGAAAATGTGACTTAACCAGAGCTGAGCACATCCTTACCTTTTCCTCACTCTCAGCCCTTCTTGTTCCCTACTTGCAGTACAGTTGAGAGGCAATAAACATGGCAATTTATTTGGGTCACAAGATCAAAGGCTTTTCATTTTATGAGTCATAAGTAAAGCAAGCAAAATAAGTGAGTTCATTAAGCCCGTGTTTACTTGTTCTTTTTGCAAATGCCATTTTGTCACATTCTGAAGTTCCACACAGACCAAAGCAAAGGCAGGTGGACATGGAGATGCCTAAAATGAGAGAGTAGCAGCAGCTTTTAGAGGGTTTATTTTACCTGAAAGAAATAGTACAAATAAATTAATTCTACCCTTGAGTAAACGAAGCTTAGCACGCAGAAAGCCCTTGTGTCGGTGAGGAGTCCCAGGCACCTGTAGGTGAGGCAGCGGCTGTGGGGTGGCGGTGCCACAGACCTGACCATGACCTCTCGCACGGAAGGGGAGCAGCTTATTTCACTGAATATCAGTAAATTCACACGGCTTTGGCACCTAGGTTTTTAAAAAACACAAAACCTGTTGCCAGAGAAAAGCGAAGGAGGAGAGGGGACGTTCGGCGCAGGGCAGCGCTCACCGCAGGGCACAGCGAGCAGATAGGACTTTGACGCTTATTTATGTGAGGAAAGGGCTGCAGGAGTGCGGGGCCGCTCAGGGGAGGGCTGGAGCTGCCCGCACCATCCTGCTCCGGCTCCTGACACACACAGCAGGGGGAGTTATGCTCACATTTAGGAGATTTTTGGGGCGATTTCCACGCGCTCGGTTTGCAGCGCAGCGTGTCCCGCAGCTCCAGGCGGGCATGCAGCGATCCCTGCCTGTGGTGCTGCTCCCCGCCTGGCCTGCGCCGCTGCTTTCGCCTCAGGAAGGCGACTCAAAGGTCCCTGGCTGCACCAAGAGCTGTTTCCCGGTGGCATCGTGCGGCTCAGGCAGGAGCTGCCGGACAGGGGAGGGGAGGGCACCGGGGCCTGACCCGGGCCCGGCACCGGGCGGGAGAAGCCGTGAGCGGCGTTGCTGCCGAGCCCGCGGGCGCTGCGAGCGAGGCGCCGCCCCGTGGGGCCCTGGGGCTGCGGGGCCGGGTCAGACGAGCCCTCATTGGGTGTGTCCCGTCCCCGCGGTCGCTGCGAGCGAAGCGCCGCCCGGTGGGGCGCTGGGGCGCTGGGGCGGTGGGGCCGTGTCCCGCCCCGGGGCGGGCCGGGCGCTCGGCGGTGCCGTCACGGAGCACGGAGCGCCGAGCGCGGCCATGAGCGCGGTGCTGCTGCTGCTGCGGGCCCTGCGCGCCGCCCGGCCGCAGCCCCGGCCCCAGCCCCGGCCCCGGGCCGGCCCCTCAGCCCGCGGCCTGCGCACGGCCGCGCCCCGCCGCGCCTTCGCCAAGGAGCTGTTCCTCGGCACCCTGCGCAAGGTGGGTCCGCGGGCGTGCGGGGGGCGGGCCGGGGCCGGCCGTGCCCGGGGGTCGCTGCCCTTTCACCGGCGGGCGGCGGGGCTGGCACAGACCGGGGGCATCGCCCGCCTGGGCTCGTCCGCACCACCGCCAGGGCCTTTTCCTGCTGCTCATCTCAGCCCGGGGCTGCGGGCCTCGGTGTGCGCCCACGGCAGGGCCCGGCCCCGGCCTGGCTGTCCCGCAGCCCGTGGGTCCCTGCAGAGCTCCCTGCCCTGGCACGGAGGGACGGGAGGCGTCTCCGTGTGTGCCGGTGCCCCTCAGCTGGAGCCGGGTTAACTGAAGGGACCCTTTGCACACAAAACCCGCGATGGAGCTCAGAGTGACCCAAACAGCCATGACGCCAAGAGCGGGGCTCAGCCGCAGCCCCCTGTGCCTGCCAGCCCCGCAGGCCCTGCATACACGCGTGGCACTGTGCACCCTCTCTGGGCACACCGCTAAACCTGGACCGCTTCATCCTCTGGTTGTACTTGAAAGATCGAGGCTTCACATAAATCTCTGCCTACAGGTTTGATAGGAAAGATTGAAGTTCTTGTGGTGCCTTTAACTGGACAAAGAAGTTTAAGTCTAGGGCAGAGCGCTGTATTAAGCAGAGTTTGTTACTGCAAGGCTTAGAGTGTGCATTTATCAGAGATTGAAGGATGAAGTAAATGAAAAGAAGGAATAATTCAAATACACTGAAATGAGTTGGGCAGTGAAGTCTCCTGCAACAGAGCTTGTCAGATAAGGTGTTACAGCAGGCAGCACTCAGGCTCCACTGTGTTAAACCCCTCTTCAGATATGTCTGGGGTGGTTTTTCTCTCAAATTTCAATACAACAGCTTTCTGAAAACCTCTAGCCCCAGGTCCTGAATTTTTGATGCTGATATTGCTCAGTGTACCATGAATAGATTTCTGTGGACAGAGATAAATTCTTTTGTTTCAAAGGGGAAAGCCAGTAAAAATCAGAAGTGTGCTTCTCACATAGCCTCCCACTCCTTGCCTGGATTTTTTTACCAATTCAAACCTGTCAGGCCATGCTGCTCCCAGTTCATGGCCAGAACACCCTGGGATGATAAGGAGTGGTGGGACTCACTCACCTTTGTCCTTGAGGCATTACAGGTGAAAAGTGCTGGGTGTTTGCAAGGGACAGTGTTCACAGGCTGAGCTTTGTAAACATTAAACTCATTTTTTATCAATCCCAACTCATTTTTTATCAATCCCTAAATAGCGTTAAAGCTTGTGGGCGATGAAGGATTTTTGGGTCTTTGTAGTTCTTAAAAGATCTCTCAATTTCTCCCTCATGTTTCTGTTGTTCACGTAACACCCTCTGGTCTGGTTTTGGTGTGTAATAAAGTTGGGTCCTGGGGAGTTCTGTTTCTGTTTCAGAGAATTTTCCACAATTCTTAATTTGCACAGTGTTTTACAGTCTTTGCAAGGCATATTTCCCATGATTTTTATTTCAACTGCATGGTTCTTGTATTAAGAGTTATTAAATAATTCTCCCATTTTAGGAAGAAGTTTTTCCTTATCCAGAAATTAGCAATGAAGAACTGGCAGAAATCAACCAGTTTGTGGGACCTGTTGAAAAGTTCTTCAATGAGGAAGGTATATTATTGTGTTTTTATCCATGCAAGTGATTTAGTGATTACAAAATGATTTAACTATAGCAGTTAAAGAAGATTATTATACTTAAAGCATTTAATTTAGTTTATGCATTTATTGCTGCTCACATAGTGATGCTGATTCTGTAGCATGTCCATTTATGGCTTTTTTGGGGAGTATTTGGGTGCTGATCAGAAGAATTAAGTCTCCAAAACAGGAAAAAAACCAAGGATGTAAAAGAATTCTGGGATAAAGATAGGATTTGAAATTGTTTTTAGCTCAGCTGAATTGTGCTTCTAACCACTTCATATATTGTGATTTTTTTTCCTAGTTCTGGTTCCTAGAACTTTTTAACTGTCCTACTCTGCTAAAGCTGACTGTGGCAGGATGCAGCAGAGATACTCAAAAATGCTGGCTCATTGAGGAGTTATGAAAAATCAAAAGCAGTTCTGGTTTTTTCAGCATTAGAGTAATAATTCTGTTTGGGAAAGGCCTTATTACCCATCTGCATTCCAGAGAGCATTGCAGGGTGTTCCTTCCATTAGTGCTGCCATGGATAAGCCAATTCCAGAGCAATTGCAGAATATTGGTTTGCACAGACAGCGATTTCTGGGGCAGTTAAACAGCATTGTCTCAGACTTCCCATTGACAGAGGTTTTCCAAACACTGCAGGAGATTGGAGAAGCCAGTGATTGTCACATGTCACAATTTGTGAGATCCAGGTGATTTTAAGTGTAAAATTGTAGTGTTGCTCACTGACAGTAAATAAAGAATTTATTCAAATTACATTTTTTAATTCTTTGCCTCTGTGGGGGAACATGATTTATGGAGTAAACAGCCTGATGTTTAGGGGAGGAATAAAAGGGTCAAATTATAGAGTCTGGAGAAAATAGGATTCCTGTTTGTTTTCACTGCCCTGGTACAGAACAGCTCTCTTAATCCCCCAAGAATCTAAAAACTCCTAAGAGCAAGGTTTTCTAATTACCTCATTTATGTTGTTTTTTTTTTCTTGTATTCACTACCTAGACTTGGTTCAGATAGAAAATCCTGGAAATGCTTTGCTTATTACAGTCTTGGAATCTGCTGGCATGCAGAACCAGTAGAAATGTTTGAGAAAATGAAATAAATGCTGGATTTTTCCCACTTCCAAGTCTTTTTCCTGAATGTTCTGAGGACAAACAGGAGAGTCAGGCTGAAGCTAGAAAGAAGAAATTCTTGGGAAGCTGGGGATGAGAAGTCTCATGAGTGACCTTGGCCCTGCTGGGGGAATCCTGCAGCCTCCCACACTGAGAAACACAGTGTTAAATGAGAAAAATTCTGTATTTTAGTGGACTCGAAGAAAATCGATCAAGATGCAAAAATCCCACCTGAAACCTTACAAGGACTGAAGGACCTGGGTCTCTTTGGCATGCAGATTCCAGAGGAATATGGTGAGTAAATGCCACAGAAGAACACCCAGAGCCTTTAGGAGTGCATTTTGTGCCGCTTTTGTAGCTCTCCAGTTAAAGCTGCTGCATTCCTGTATTTCTGTATTTGAAATGGATTTTTTGGGGGGGAGAGTGGCACAAAAAATGTACTAAAATAATACCTGGTGCCTGTTCCAGGTGGTCTGGGCCTCTCAAACACCATGTATGCACGTCTGGGAGAAATCACCTCCCTGGATGGCTCCATTGCAGTGACCCTGGCAGCTCATCAGGCCATTGGGCTGAAGGTAATGCTGCTGCTCTGGGGCCAGGATTCTGCATGGAAAAGGTGAAGTGAAAAATGTGGGGCTTGGAGGGAGCAAATCAGAATTACTGAGGAAGCATAAATCAGGTTGTTGGTGTCCCCAGCAGCCTCTGCCACTGGTTCAGTGTGAGACAGAAAGGCTGGATAGGAAGCAGATAAGAAAGTTACTATTAGGTTAATTATTCTTAGGAAAACTACTTTATATGAGTCCAAGTTGTTGGGGTTTTTTTCTATTGACCAAACTTGTTTAAAGTAGCTAGAATAAATAGAATTGAGTTAAGAGTATCAGGGAGGCTCAGGTGATGAGGAAGGAAAGAATTCAGAAGAGAGCAACTTTGGTTGGCTGCCTGGGGCTATTTGTTGAGGGGCCTAGAGGAGATAATTCATCTGAGAGCAAGTGTGTCAATTTTGAACTTGAATACAGCCATAGGTTTTTACCTTTTAATGGTGGGTGGATGGCAGAAAGAAGCTTGAAACCACACTCAGTGTGTTATAGCAAGAGAAAATTCCTTGTGGAATTGAGCACAGAATGCTAATGAAAAAATATTTTAACGACTGAAAAATATTCCAGTCTGATGTTTATTAAACTGTCTCTTGCTGTGCCATAATACTTGTAGGTGAAGCTTTCTGAACATGCTGGAGCTTCTCAGCTCCCTCTCTTTTCCCACAGGCTGGTGCTGCAAAGTTTCCTGTGCTTGTTTCTGCAGGGGATCCTCATAGCTGGCACCGAGGAGCAGAAGGCCAAGTACCTGCCCCGCCTGGCCTCGGGGGAGCACATTGCTGCCTTCTGCCTCACCGAGCCTGGCAGGTGCTGCTGCCCACAGTGCCTCCCTGCCTTAGCTGCATTGCTGCTGACCTTGAATCTTCATTAGTTGGGACCCATGCCTTCAGTGTATACATCTGGGGTTTAGTTTTAGTTTTTAAAGAAACATTCCAATTACTCTTTCCCCAGTGTGCTGGTTTTGGCAGTGTCCATGAAATCCCTGACTCTTTTTGTTCCCATCCCAGGAATTCATGTACTTAATTTCTTCCATGAATTGAAAGGATGCTTTGTGCTATGTCAGAAATAATGTGCTGTGACTGTTCTAGGATGCTTTCAGTTCTTATTCAAAATATAAAAGCCTGTTTTGAAGGAGCTACCAAAACCAAAAGGAAGAATTTTTGGTGTCATTTAAATGAGAGGCTCATTGTGTGTTCACATAGCTCAAAGTGTAGCTCCAAAATGTTGCTGTTGTGGCATTCTGCACATTCTGGTCAGGTCATAACCCTGATAACATGGTAATGAGAAGAAAGGTCCCCTCAGGTAACTTTTAGAGCTGTTCAATCTAGTGAGCTTCTCTGTTAGTTAAAAGCTAAAATTGATATACTGCTATTTAAGACCACCTCCTTTTCACAGAATGGGAAGAGGGGGAATATGCAGTTTTGGTTTTTTAAAGCATGTTTACTTCTTTGAACATTAATAACTTGTTTGTTTCCTAGTGGGAGTGATGCTGCATCCATCCAGACAAGAGCAACCCTGAGTGAAGATGGGAAACACTTCCTGTTAAATGGCTCCAAGGTACCCACTCACAGACTGGGAACAGGAAAGGGGATTGTTCCAAGTGTAGGAAGTGTCCTTGTCTTTTGCATCAGTATGGAATTGGGAGGTTTCCAAGCTAGAGGAGAATGACCCTGACAAAAAGATAACCCTTGTTGGTTTAGGCACAAAAGGAACAGAAAATTATTGTTAGAGAATTAAACTCCTGCATTAAACTCCTGGTAAGAAAAATAGAAAACTACCCCAGGTTCCTTCTCTATTGCCCACTTGTGTGCTCAGCTTCAGGGAGGCTTGGTTAGTTGGTAAATCAGCCCCCTCCATGACAGCTTAGGTAAAAGGAAACCTAAACCTGTATTTGGCATCTCTTCATTCTTCAGGCTAGATTTTAAAAGAAAACTTGATATTTAATTAGAAATAGGGCTGCTTGGAACTTTTCTGTTAAAAGAAACAGTGACAAAAGCCAGTTTTGAAGAAATCAGAGATGTCCTGGGTTCAGCAGTATCGGATGCATTGCAGACTTGATCTGTAGCTGTTGATCCATTTGTGGTGTGAAGAGAACCCACCCTGGGGGAGAGGCTGATCAGAGAATTTCTCATCAGAGTTGATTTTTGGGCACAGGGTTTGTGCAGTCTGCATTGCCCCTGTATCTCTCACGTGCCATCAGCAGCAGGAGGTACCAGCTTCTGTGGAAATGCACAGTGGATTTTAATTTAATGCATATTGATACTACATTCTGGTTTTAAAGTTGCTCTAAACTTAGCATGTGTGGTCAGCTCTCCTCAGAAATGTGCTCACCCTCATTAGAACTGAAGGGAAGGAGCAGCAATTTTTTCAGCACTCTGTTCTTTGCTCAGCCTGTTACAAAACCCTGGAGAGCTGTGCTCACAAAATCAGCACAGTTACATTTCTTACACATCTTCCCTCTCTGAAAACAGGTCTGGATCTCCAATGGTGGCCTGGCCAGTATTTTCACAGTGTTTGCCAGGACAGAGGTTGTGGACAAGGACGGGCAGGTGAAGGATAAAATCACTGCTTTCATCGTGGAGCGGGACTTCGGCGGCGTCACCCACGGCAAGCCCGAGGATAAACTGGGCATTCGAGGCTCCAACAGTAAGAACCACCTACAATTCTTAGCAGAAATTGTTTTAATGGTTTAAGGTTTTATTTTGGTTGGATCATCTGAATCCAGAGGCAGATCAATACCTATTCCATGTTACAGTTAAGTTCATGTTTCTTTAGCTGGCTTTTCCTAGGAGTCCTTCCTGACACAGCATCTGAAATAAGAAATCCATTTTGTGGAGTTCATTCACTGTGCAGTGAAAGAAATCACTCAGGAGATTCAGTGACAATAGATTTTATCTAGAAGTCCACTTTCTTCAGCTCTTCTAAGCTTTGTAATGATTGCATCTTTTCACCATCTTGGTGACTGTTCAGTCAGTTCCTTAGAACTAAAAATAAAGACCAAACTGTAGTTCTCTGTTTACACAGTGTATATTCATAACATTTTTAATATTCAATAATTGATGTCAACTACAGCCTTTTCCCACATTCTCACTTCTTTGGCAAAGCATGTATAATTCTGTCATAAACAATCCATTAGGAAGACTTAATTTCTTGCTACAAATAGTGACTTAAGTTCCTGAATATCTTTTAAATATTTCCGTGTCATATTTGTCATTTGATTCTGTGTTTCAGCCTGTGAAGTGCATTTTGAAAACACCAAAGTGCCTATAGAGAATGTAATTGGAGAAGTTGGAGGGGGATTTAAGGTAAGCAGTGGAGAATAGCTACTGGTGATTTGTAGAAGCCTGAAGGAGGCTGTTTGCCCCTGTGCTGAAGTTTCCTCGTGGGTGGTGTGAGCACTGCCACACTGCAGGGTACAGGAGGACAGATTCCCCCACTGATCTGTGAATTGGTGTCACTGGACAGTGCACAGTGTGCCATCACCTCAGATTTCTGTGGTTTTTCTCTTCTTATTGGGCTTTTGGGTGTTTTTGGTGGTGTCCCCTCAGAAAAGGGAGTGACTTCAGCTGCCCTTCTGCCCTGAGTGGGGGACACGTCCTGTGCTGGTTCCACAGCAGCATGAGGGAAGGGGACAGAGCAGTGAGTGCCACAGGGAGTGCTGGAGGCATGCCCAGCCCCAAGGTGCCCTGGCTGGCAGCTGCTTCTCCAGGGCTGCACTGTGGCACAAGGCAATGCTGGCAGGACCCCAGGAGAGAAAACCACAGGTGGCCTTGCTGTGTAACCTTTCTCTGAGAGTGTGACCTGGGGATTTGCAAAACTGCTCTTACTCCTTCTCCATTTCCTGCTCCTGCTGTAGCAGGCAAGTCCAGGCCTAAATGCTAAATGAAATAATTTCCCTTCATGTAGGAGAGATTAAAAGAAGATTGTTATGGTGTCTTCCTGAAAAGTTAAAATGTAGGACAGTGACTTCTTTTCTAACAGGCTTTGACCTGAGTCACCCATGTTGAGAAACAACACTACAGACACCAGACTCCAAAATCTATTTTTGTACATTACTGGTCTGTATTTCATTTCTACACCTCCATTCTTGTCCCTTCTGTGATGTGTTGCTGAAAGGCATCTGAGGCAGAGAGCAGCCATGACAGGTCAGCTACAGGGAGAAATATTGTGGTTTTCTTCTTCATGTGATAAACTGGAACAGTGCTGTCCAGCTGGAATGTTGTTTACCAGCTGCAGATAAATGCATTTTTATCTACATTTTGCCTTCATGTAATTAGAATAGAGATTATTTCCAAGTCACTGGATCATCTACTTCAGATATAAAATTGGATATAATGGGTGGCAGGAAAAGCCCAGTTTTGAAGCATTTTCCTTGGGATGCTGGGAGCTGTGGTGGCTGATGTGAGGGCACTTCCAGGACTGGCACTGTGTCCCAGTGAGGAGTGAAATCCAGGGAACACTGAAGCAGGAAGCAGTGACCAGCATGGCCTTAGGAGAATGTGGCCTGAACCCCATCTGTTTCTTCCCAGGTTGCCATGAATATCCTCAACAGTGGAAGATTTAGCATGGGCAGTGCATCTGCTGGAATGATTAAGAAGTTGATAGGTGGGTGAATTGGGTGCTCTGCATGGCTGGGTGCCAGCAGAAACTGCTCTGCTTGAGGCAGATCATGCAGGACATTCAGAGTGGGAACAGGAGTCTTGACCTTGTCATAACACGCTTTGAAATCTTTAAAACACTCAAATATGGTTTTGAAAAATAGTTGTTAAAAGGCTGCTTGTAGAGGTTTTGCAATAAAGGTCTTTTTCCTTTTTGTACAGTGTAGGTTCAGTTCACAGAGTGGGTGCCTCTGTTGGACTTCCCTGAGGTAAAATGTTCTTCCCAAGAAAAAAACCTCTGTACCATTTGCTTTTAGAAGGTGTAATCTCCCCTGGAACCTCCCACCTGAATAACTGGCTCAAAGCTGCACACAGTAAAACTGCTTTCTGCCAATAATTAGCCAAAACAGTAACAGAAGTCTCTCTAATCAATTAGCACCAAAACTGATGGCTTCCCTAAGAGTACAAGTTCCCATTTCTGGTTCAAAAGCCTTTGACAGGCTGGTCCCAGACTTGATCAACACCATCAGTGTCAGGGTGATTTTCACAAAGTGCTGCTTCTGGAATAGCCAGGGGGCTCCTGGGCATAGACTGGAGTGTCACCATCCAGGGAAGGACACCAGCAGCTGGAATGGTCTGTCACAGCCCCTCTGAGATTGATTTGTTCTTCTTTCTTTAAAGAGCTGACATCAGAGTATGCTTGCACCAGGAAACAATTCAATAAGAAACTCAGCCAGTTTGGATTAATTCAGGTAACAAAATATGAAACACCTAAATCTCTGTGCTAAGTGCCAGGACATAGATTGCATTGGGGGTATTTTGGCTGTACTGGTTTAAAGGATTTGCTAGAAATTTGTCTGAACCTGGTGCTGACTTCTGTACGCTGATCTTTTAAATGTCCAGAATGAGAAATGTATAAAAGTATTTTTTATTTATTGTTGTTTTAAAGTGGTGCTTTTTATTGATTGATTAATTTGATGATGTAAAACGTATAAAAACTGCAGGTTTTTTGAAGTTTGAAGGTTGATTGTGGACTTTTGCATCTGAATTTCTGTATGATTGCTCCTGTTGCTGTGTGGCAGGAGAAGTTCTGTTTGATGGCTGTGAAAGCCTACGTGATGGAGAGCATGGCTTACCTGACTGCAGGGATGATGGACAGGCCAGGCTTCCCTGACTGCTCCGTGGAGGCTGCCATGGTCAAGGTACCCAGGGCTGGCCAGGGGCTCAGTGTTCAGGCTGCAGAGGGCTGAGAGCTCAGGGCTGCATTTAGACAGATGAGAGAAGCCCTGCAGCCAGGTGAAATGACAGATACTGTTCTGTCTGTATCCCACAAGCTCACACTTGTGCAAAACAAAACCAGCAGGGAGCAGATTGGGAATGTCACAGCCCCTGAGCTGGGGTCTGAGGAGGCCTCACACAAGCACAGGGACACTCAGTTACACTCCAGCTGCCAGCCTGGCCAAGCTGCTGCTGTGCCAGCTTTCTCAGGGAGCTGGTGGCACAACAAACCTTTGGAATATCCAGGCTGTGGCTGCCAGGGTGTCCCTCATGGTCACTGCAGAAAACTCCTGCTCTGGGCTCCAGCCAAGCAGCTGCAGCTGCTCTGCCCGTGTGGGGCTGCCCCTGTCCCTGGAATGTGCCCTTTTGGAGAGTGCCCTGTGCGTTGCATCACTGAATTTGGCAAACCCCTGAGCTGCAGGGACACAGTTCCAGGACTGGGGAACACACAGAAAACACTGCAGCAGTGTCCTGTGGATACAACCCCAGAGCAGGGCATCCTGTGTTTATTGCTGATTTATTATCTGCTCGCTCACTGCTGGTCAAACCCTGTTCCATGGCAGGTGTTCAGCTCTGAAGGTGCCTGGGCCTGTGTGAGTGAGGCTCTGCAGATCCTTGGAGGCCTTGGCTACATGAAGGATTATCCCTACGAGCGCTACCTCAGGGACACCAGGATCCTGCTCATCTTTGAGGCAAGTACCAGCATCCCCCTTTCACTGCAAACTGCAGTTCACACCTCCTATGAAGGTGAGCAGAAACCTGAAGGTTTGATTGATCAGGACTTTGTTCCTTCAGCTGCAAAGTCTGGAACAGTAAGACTGCAGGACTAACCTTGTTTTCTTTGGAATATCAATAGTAGTTCCCATAGTAAAATGAGCTGTGATGGCTTTTACAGACTGACCACAGTGTGAGTTACAGCAGTGACCTTTCCTCTTGTGTGCTTCTCACAAGTGAAGCAGGGAAACTCATAAAAGATCAACTTAGACATTTAATTAACTTACTGAGGGGCGTTTACATTAAAAGAAGGGTTGGTTCTGAAGCTTGTTCTCTTTCCAAGCTGGATTGTCAGTGACCCATCGTGAGCACATCAGAGTCATTGCCAGGCTTGATTTTAACTCAGCTCATTTTGAGCAGTTCTACAGCTATTGAAATGTTCCTTCACTGGAACAGTGCACAACATTTTTAATCAAAATGCATTTAGTCTGGTTTCTTTTTCATTGGGGTATATTTGTGTGTTTAATGATGAGGGGCTCAACTTCTGCAATGCCCCATGAAATCAGAATTAAAACTGAGATGAAGCAAAAGGCAGCAGTTAATGCGTGGGGAGAGTCAACATGTGATACTGGAGCAGTGGGAAGGGCACAGGGGCACAACAGACCTGCTTGGAAAACACTCACTGTTGTAAACTCTGGTTACCCACCTGTCTCACTTTCTCTTCTGCTTTTTCCAGGGAACCAATGAAATCCTGAGAATGTACATTGCACTGACAGGGATGCAGCATGCAGGGAAGATCTTAACTGACAAAATTAAGTATGTTCTTATTTATTGTTAATAGTTTTAAATAAACTAAACAGAATCAGGTAACTTTATAGATGAGAGAAGAAACTGCAGGGAAAACCTGCAGGATTTTATATTTATTGTCTGTAAAAGTTCAGTGTTACAGGGGCTCTTTGTCTTTTTAATGGGATGGTTCATAGATTTAGGAGTTGTAGCATTTAATGCATTTTATCTTGGACTTTTACACAAGCTGTAATTATTTCTTTCAAGACAGGAATGAATATTTTGTGTCTGAATGAAGTTGTATTGGCACAACAGCTGCATTGTGCATATTGAGTACTGGTCTCTGGAATTCCTTGTGGGTGTCTTTGAGAGCAGCTGATGACTCTTAAGGTCCACAGTTGTTCTTCATACGTCACAGTAATGCAATAATGGTTCAGGACTTGGTCATTCATGGACAAGCTGCAGGCATTTTGCTAAAGCATTTGGAATTCCAACTGGTTGTGTCTGAACCTCCTGGAATTTTTTTAACAGCCATTCTTTCCCCAACATTTCAGAGCAATCAAGAAAGGAAACGTGGGAGTGGCACTGGGGGAGTTCCTGACCAGGTTACAGGACAGCCTGGGCAGGAAGGTGGATCTGGGGCTTGTAGGTGACCATGGGGTGGTGCATCCCAGCCTCCAGGTAAGGGCCTCTCTGCTGAGCTCTCGTGTTTGTTCCCTTTGCTGCTTGCCACAATTTCATCTCCTGTTTTGCAAACCAATATGTGTGCTTAGGGGCAGTGAGATTTTCCAGGGTAAGCAGGTGTTGGCACCATGACAGGGTAGGATGTTACAGTTATTGTCCAGGTATCAAGAGAAGATGAAGGCTGCTCTAAGCCTGTGTTTATACCAAATCCAGGTTTAGATCCATTTAGATAATTTGTATAAATTGAGCCTTCACCCTATTAAAATGTCTGTATTAGCTGCCCTTTGTTGTAAGGCTAGTTACAAAAGAGGAGTTTTTCCTGTTTAATTGAAACAGAGTTCCAGGTAAGAATTTCTCTGAATTACACATACACATACTTGCTTAATCACTTAGGAAAAGGTTTTTATGACCAAAAATGAATGTTCTGCTAATAGCAAAAAGATAAGGTATATTTTTCATGGGGTGTTCTGTTAGTTACTTTTGTCAGCATGAGCCTATATTGAAAGTTACCAAGAGTAAATTCCAGAAAATTTTAATGGATGTTTGAGAGAAAGAATAGTGCCTGTCTGGCTTTCAGCAGCAACGTGGATAAATGTTAAAAAAGAGAAAATCCAGTGTCCTCTTTAAATAGGGTGGGAGTATGTTGCTTTTCTGTTATAAGACTACTCAAATTGTTCTATTTTGTGTTCTGTTTTACAGGACAATGCCAAGAAACTTGAAGAAAACGTTTATTATTTTGGAACTACAGTCAGGGGCCTGCTAAGTAGGTTTGGCAAGGTAACTATTTATTTTGTCTGTTGTTTTTGTTACTGAATAGTTTATCCTTGGGGCCCCACTGGAACCTGCAGAGGACTGAGTATGGCAGGACCAGCACTTCCTTCACATGACACATTCTCACTGGGTGTGAGAAAACACACTGACATTCTGTACCTCAGTGTAATGGAAAAGTTACATTGTTAGAACCAAAACCAAAGCACCAGCACCCTCAGGGAATTGGTTTTTTTCTTCTCATATAAGCACAAATCCTGCTGCTGCAGGCGTTTAGCAATGTAGTTTAAGGCACACATCAGTATTACAATTTTACAAGCAGACTGTTAAAAGGGGAAGCTTAGTAAGCCCAAAACTAACTATGAAAATTTCTGACCTAGGCTAGAACCGGTTTATGCAAAATAAAGCTGGACCTAAACACGAAGTATGGACAGTGATATTTGGTTGAAGTTTTGAATTTGGTTGAAGTTCTGACAAACCACAAGCTGATAATGATTTTCCCTCTGGCAGACAATAGTGGAGGAGCAGCTGGTGCTGAAGAGAGTGGCAGATGTGGTGATTAATTTGTATGCAATGACTGCAGCCATCTCCCGGGCCAGCCGCTCCATCAGCATCGGGCTCAGGAACCATGACCACGAGGTGAGTGTCCCTCAGCAGCAGCCATTCCCACTCAGGCTGTGCTCCTGGGAGCAGGCAGGCTGCATCTCTGGGGAATTATAGCAAACTCCCATAAAAGTGCAGCAGAATGTGGCTAAACCTGCCAGAGTGCAGGAGCCTCTCAGGGGCTCTGCCTGTTGAGCTGCACATTCTCACCATGTTTAAAATACTTTTTTAACACATACACAGACATTTAGAACCTCACCACAACTTTGCACTTTCTCTCAAATCTTTTAGCACCATGCAGTTCTTCCCAAGCTCTTTCCATATAATCATTAATAATAACACATAAGCACAACAGTGTTTGGGCAGCACAGTTCAGGACAGAACAGTGCTTATTGAGTAGCTCAAGTAAAGTTTCATGGCAACAGTGCTGTTGTACGACAAGCAAATTTGCCCCATTTCAGTGTTAAAACAAACCCAACCTGATGAAGGTTTGGCTTTGGCCTTGAGACTTTGCTCTTTGTGTGAGCCCTGTTCTGGATTGATTCCCAATCAGTCTTGGAGCCAGTTTTGGGTGAAGGCTCATCCCAGCCCTGAGCCTTGGCAGTTCTGGCCTCCAAGGGACAGCTGAGGCTGCACTGCACATGACTGGGGTTCAGGGCTCCATTATCAAAGGGCTTTGAGAAGCTTAACTTACTGTATTTTTTCTACATGGTTTTCTCTTTGAAATTATTCACTATTTTTTAACTCAGTTTTACTCCTTTTCCAGGTGCTTCTTACAAATATCTTCTGCACAGAAGCGTATTTCAAGAATAATTATGCCATGGCTCAATTAGAAAAATGTAAGTACTATAAAATAATTCTTACACTCTTCTGTCTTTCAGACTGTGATCAAAAGAAGTTGGGTTTGATGTGACCAACAGAAGAGTTTTGCTTTGCTTTTAATTCAAACAAGCAGCAGAGCTTGAACCTGTTGAGAAGAGTCTTCACTTCATTACTAAAGCAAACTGCCAGGGTTCTTTATTGAACAATATAAAATCTATATTTTATGTATATACTCCTGACAAGTCACTGATAGAAATGAGGGATTTGGACTCTTTGGGAAGTACTGACCAGCTGCGCATTGGCTCTCCGAAGCTCAGTCCGTAATAATCAATCTTTTTCAGAAGAGAATGTTCAGTTTCTTCCTGGCACTCACTCTTGCATTTGTACTCAAAAACACTTCTTGAAAGAAATATACAACACCTCTTTATGGTCCCTTCGTTGATTTTTCTCTGTTTCTCCATAGATGCCGATGAAAACTTGGATGATTCCATTAAAAAAGCAGCAAAGCAGATCCTGGAGAAGAGGGCATACATCTGCTCCCACCCTCTGGACAGGACCTTCTGATCCCTCCCTGACAGCAGGCACTCATGAATGTCAGTCAGGGAGGAATTTGCTGCAGTTCCAGTGTTTAATACATTAAAAGCATCTGTTATTTAATCTCTTTAGTAAATGTAACTGTATAAAATAAAACTTCTTTCTAACCACTACTTCATAGGAAAAGGATAAATAAAGATATTTTATTTTAAGCTGAAGTTATTTGATTAGATAGATAGATATATGTATATATATGTCTGTTCCTCTTGGAGCTGGATAAAGACAGGGGAGGTTTGGATGGGGAGATGTTTCTTCCCAGGGAAGGGATTGTGTGGTTTCTCAGTATCTTTGCGCTTCAGTCAGCTGCTCCTTCACTGAGCAAGTCTGAAAGACTTGGGCAATCAGAACAGTTCTGTTTTGGAGGCACCTCCAACTCTCTTGTCCAGCAGCACCATCAGGACACTGAGTTGCCAGTGTCCAGGGAGGTTTTGCTGTCACCCTGAGGGACACCACTGGTCACTGACGTCCATCGGGCCTCTGAGCCATTGACCACAATCCCCTGGATGTGACCAGCCAGGCAATTCCTCATTCTCCAAACTGTGCCTCCATCAGATCCACAGCTCACCAAAGGAGGGACAAGGATGCTGGGCAGGGCTGATGTGTCCAGGGCATTACACAAGTCCAGAGTGGTGGCATCTCCAGCTCTCACCTTGTGCACTGAGGCAGCCGCTCCATCATGGAAGGCCTCTGGCTTGGTCAGGCAGCACAGACCCACCCTGTGCTCCTCAAGGTTTCCTTTGGCATATCCAAGCATTGAAGAGGTTGGGTGGTTTTACCCCCCTGTTTTATTGACTGTGTCCTTTGAGGACCACAAGAGGAAGCAGAGCCTTAAATTGCACAAGAAGAGCAAATGGTGAAGTAAAGGTTCCACCTTTCCTATGAAACCAAAGGGCTGTGTTAGCCATGGCCTCCCCAAGGTGCCAAACTTCCAGCTGGGAAGCTGCTGACAGGAGGGAATGTGGCACTTGTCACAGTGAGACTGGAGGGACTGGCAGAGGGCAAGGCACCATGGCCCTTGCTCTGCGCCTCTTCCTCCTGCTCCTCCTGGCCGTGGCCCTGCCTGCCAGGGCTGCCCAGGCTGCTCCGCTGCAAGCGCGGCGAGCAGGTGAGCCGGCAGCCTGGCTCCCCTTTGCCGGGACAGCGCTCCCTGCTCCCCGGGAAGCGCTGGGGATGGTTTTCCCCAGGCCTTTAGGGAGAGTTTCTTCTGGGGGAGGGAGAGAGTCCCCATGGGGCCTGGGCTGGCCCATTTTCCTCCCCAGGGATGTGTCACAGGGCCTGCAAAGAGGGTGGAGAGTGACCAGGAGCCAGCCCAGAGCTCTCCAGGCCCCTGTGCAGCTTTGGCCTTCTCCATTGACACCTGGCTCCCACGGCCTTACCCAACCCCCTTGCAGTGCCCAGTTCCCATAGGCAGAGGGGGATCCCAGCACACCATGGAAATGGGTCTGGTCTTTGCTCTCTTCTAGACTGGGATCATGACATGGCTTATATGGAAAAGCTGGTGAATGACAGTATGAAGATTCTAGGGCATGGTGGAGGCATGTTCCCTGTGTGCCTTTCCTGACAAAATAATCAGTGTCCATGTGGCAAGAGCTCACTCATGAGCCCTTTCTCTTGACATAAGCTCTCACTGAGGCTGCCTGGCCAGGAGCAGCCCCAGGCACACAGGGCAGAGGCAGAGCAAGTTCTCAACAGTGTTTGGGCAGCACAGTTCAGGACAGGACCCTGCTTATTGAGTAGCTCATGTAAAGTTTCATGGCAACAATGGTATTGCAGGACAAGCAAATATTCTCCAGTTTAGTGTTAAAAGAAATCCAACCTGATGAAGGTTTGGCTTTGGCCGTGAGACTTTGCTCTTTGTGTGAGCCCTGTTCTGGATTGATTCCCAATCAGTCTTGGAGCCAGTTTTGGGTGAAGGTTCATCCCAGCCCTGAGCCTTGGCAGTTCTGGCCTCAAAGGGACAGCTGAGGCTGCACTGCACATGACTGGTGTTAAGGGCTCTATTATCAAAGGGCTTTGAGAAGCTTAAATTACTGTATTTTTACTGCATGGTTTTCTTTATGAAATTAATTCAGTTTTTCTAAACTTAGTTTAAAAAAAACTTCTTTTCCAATGCTTTTTCCACTTATTTGATATAGTGAATGATGGCCTAGTTATCCCATGGCTGAATTAGAAGACTGTAAGTATTAGAAAATGGAATCATTTTTACACTCTTATGCCTTTCACAGACTTATGAAACTTATTTTGTTTGATGTGACCAACAGAAGAGTTTTGCTTTGCTTTTAATTCAAACAAGCAGCAGAGCTGGAACCTGTTGAGAAGAGTTGCTTCACAGCTAAAGCAAACAGCCAGGCTTCTTGTTTTCCAGCTCTGGGCAGGAAGACCAAAATCTCTCAGCAGTAAATACTCCAGACAAGTAACTGCTATAGACTAGGGATTTGGGCTCTTTGCTCCCTAAGCCCTGAGTTCCTCAGAGCTGCAGCTCCCTGTTCTCTTTGCAGACAGGGGCTGGCTATGGATGACAGTCACATCTCTGGCCTGGTGCACACCAGGTCCACACAGGAGCTGAGGGATCACCCTTGCACACCCCATCCTGGAAGAACCGAGTTCATTGATGAATCTGACACGGTTTGATGCATGGCAGCAAAAGAAGGCAAAACAAAGGCTGGAATTGGTACCATTCCAACTGCTTTTCATTTTGTCATGTGTAATGCAGACAGGAACTACAAGTTTCCTATTCATGCACAATTCACTGTCTGAGAGCACTCAGTTCTCAAAGCCACAGGGCCTTGCAGGTCTGTGTCTGAGATGACTTTAAAAACAAAAACAACCTTCATGTGCAACACCTGTCTATCAAAACTTCACAATACAAATCATAAACTGATTTCTGCTGTTAAGTGAATGAAAAAAAAAGCCCAAAACCATCAGCAAAACTGTGACCAAATAAAACAGGCAAACAAAACAACCACTAAGAAAAAAAACTAATCCAACACAAAAATCCCCACAAATCCAGAAAAAGATAAGAATCGGGTGAAGGAGGCAGAGATCCAAGAGCAACAAATGGGCAGAGGAACTACAGAACTACAGAAAGGACAGATAATAAGAAAGAAGAGATAATAAGTGGCTTTGGCACCAATGCACCCAGGGGATCTGAGATACTGTTCTTACCCTTCTGAAAACAATCTGACATCAAAATAAACTGAAATACAATGATAATGATTCTGATAATGGGAATCTCCATGTTTAGCTTTCATAAATCCATTGTGTGTGAAGTTCTGTTTTCTTTGCTAACTCACATCATCTGGCAAGGGCGCTTTTCTGTCCAAAGAAAGACACTGCAGTGGAAAAGGTGGCCAGCTCAGAAAACATGGAAAACAAGAGCTAAAAATAAAGTACTTTTTTAATATGTTTTTTGGTAGGTTTGCTGTTTGTTCATGGGGATTTTGTCTGTCTTGGAAAGCAGCCCCTTGGATGTTAATGCACACACCGAGTCCTTTCTAAAGGACTGTCTTTGCAAAAAACCCTGCCAATTTTATGATGCAAGACAGAAACAGCTTCCCTTGGACTACAGCTGGAAGGCTTGGAAATGTGTTCCAGAAACTCATGATGGGACAGAGTCTGATTAACACAATTTAATGTCATGAAGTGCAATGTAGAAATTATCCAATAAAATAATCCGAGTATTTAAATGCCAAGCAGCGGGAAAGGGCTGTGCATTGGAATGACAGGAAACAGACACAGAGGCATGATGGACAAGTTTCCCAGCCCAAGCAGACCAGAAGCACTGGGAGCACAAAGGGACACAGCCAGGAGGCCCAGCAGCTCCTTGCTGAGGGCCCATTTCATGCAAGAGCTGGCACTCAGAATATTAAATAAATTAAAATAAAAGGGTGGGGGAAGGCAGCAGTGAGGTGGCCTCACAGGTTCAACTCTGCACTCTGCTTTTGGCACCAGCATTATCCAAGTTCCTGTACTTGTTTTCCTGGAGAATTTGCAGTCAACAGAGCTTCAGTCCCTTTGATCAAATCAGTCTTAAGAGCAGCTCCGGGCTGGGTCAGTCATTTAGACTCGAGCACTGACTGGGGGCCAGGCAACAAAAGAACATTAGCTGCAGGCCACCCATACAGCTTCTCATATGAATGAGAACAAAACCTTTAGTTTTGCAAACTCAGGGATGGTGGGGGGATCTTTGCACCATCAGGCTGAGGTACAAGGTTCTGGATCTGCACAGCATTGTGGTAAAGAGGGGAACACAGGTGGGGACAATCCAGGCTGTTAGCAGAGCCCCCACCCCTTGATTAAGGACATCACAATTGCTTTTAGAGCTCCTAAACCAGCTGGTGAAAAACTGATCTTTTCTCACTCCCTGCAAAGTGACAGGCAAATTGAACAGAAAGTCTGCCCCTTCCTCCATTATCTCTGAGCATCAAAGCAAAGAACCAAGGGAAAAAAAAACCAAAAACAAAACAACAAACCAACCAACTACAATACACGTAATTTTTCGCCCAGGCTGATTTTTTTTAAGAGCATTATAAGACCGACTATGCCAGTGCTGAATTAAGAGTGTCACATGTTATGTGCCTTCCACAAAGTGTGGGACAGCTGCTGCCATGCAAAGGTGGGTGCAGGGTCAGACCCTCTACTTCAGAACGAGCCCTGCCTTCCTGAGGGACAGAAATTCATCTGTTAGAATCCCTTGGAGCTTCTGGAGCTGCTCTTGGCCCACCTGTGGATAACTGGGCTGCTGTGGAGCAGCGGAGAACTTTCAGCTTGGTACCCATGTATGGGGTCTGCAGAATCTAAGCAGCATCTTCATGGGCCAACAACAGACTGGAAAGGAAAAACCAGCATCAGAAACCAGTGAGATGGAAAACTTTTGGCTGTTTGAGATAAAAAATACCAACTAAAAATCTCAGTGGCAAAGAACAACATTTCTAACAAGGATTCCAGTAGAATAAATGACACAGGTGTTGGAATAACAGCCAGTGCCCACAGCAATGACAATTCTTTGGAATAAGAGCCAGTGCACACTGCAAAGACACTTCCCTGTCCTGTGGGCTCCATAAACCATTCATGAACATAGCACTTATCCCAAGTGCTTCCCAAAGCTTCTCTGCAAGGAGCACTGGAGAAGTGCATGGGGCAAGAGTTCTGCAAGTGC